CGGTTCAAAAAGAAGAAATACCTGTTGCTAAGAGTGCTCAGGTGTGAGATCTGACATTGTTTATATTGCCCTCAGAGCAGATATTCTGTAGTGTTCAGATACAGTTGGGCAAGTGTCCTGCCTAGAGATTTTACTTGCTAATTATCTCCTGTCCTGGGTCTAGCCCAGAAGTAGAAATAAATTACAGATAAATTTCCATGACAGTGTAAAGAAAGGAGGAAGGCAGGTCTGGAGGATGTTTTTTCTCCTCCATGGCTGCTGTCAGCTTTCTTCCTGAACAGTCCAGGAGGTCTGTGAGTTATCCCAGAAAAGGCAGAGAGCTCGGGAGTGGGAGTAGGACACGCTCTGCAAACACAGCACCCACATTTTTGAAGGTGTGTGCTTTGCAATGGGTAATTTGCTCCTTTATTGTCTGCAGAGTAACAGCAGTGACAGCATTGACTTTCTCTAATGAACAGCTGCTCAGTGCTAGGATCTATTCCCGGAGGAGGCTCGCAGGGATGAATAAGGTTTCATGCTCCTCCTCCGGAGAGGGTGAGAAAGTTCGTGGAACAGAGATTGTTGCTTGATTGTTGGATATCTCCAAATCTTGACCTGCTGACAGCTGAGAGCTGAATGTGTCGCCATGCAAGTCGTGTTTGACCTTCCAGCACTCTTACCGAGGCAGGGTGTTTATGGAGTTGGGAGAGAGGTGTTAGTTCCCATCCAAGAAGTCATCCTCTTGTCACTGCAAACGACCATCACAAATTGGCTGAACAAAAAGCATTTTCCTCCTGTTGCACTGCCTGAATTCTTCGCTGATGCTCTGCACTAACAAGAGCAGGGAGGCGGGAGAGGATCACTCTTGAATTATGGATGCATTAGAGGCAGAGCCAAGTTATGAACTCTTAGAGTTGGAAATCACTGATGTATGTTATAAGTCAAGCCATGACCTCAAATAAACATTCCAAGTTTTGTCCCAAGCAACTCCTTTTTGACATCCCTGCTCATCGTTCCCCTTCGCTGTGAAACGACGCAGATTGGATTTGTGGAGGTCAGGTGGGAGGTCTGTGTGCTGAGATCTGTCTGGCTCACTCACTCGCTGTCTCCAGGTTCCCTGTGCTCCCCTCCCCACCTCCTTTTGCTTTTATAACACATGATCATAAATGATGTGTTGTATTTCCTCTGTGTCTGCCCTGAGCCCAGCTCCAGGCACTGAGAGATGCCTGTGAGAGCAAGGGTACAATGAATGGAGCACCCAAATTTGGCCTGACTCTCCTGTCTCATGACAGGCAACTGAGAAGTCCTCTGTAGTGAGTCGCTCAGAAACAGTAAAACTGAGGGGAATATTTTGAAATATTTCTGCAGATGATCAGTGAGTCTCTTGTTCTGTGGTAGCACCTTTGGTGTCTCCCTGTGCAGACACAAGTGTGTGCACAGGTTAACAAACTGTGCAGGAAAAGAGCTGCCTTCTCCAACTTTCAGTGCCCAGAGGATTTCCCTCAGTCCTGTGCAACAGTCCCAGTCACCCCAGAGCCATTCCTGGCACCCCATAGGTGGGTTTTCAGTGAAAGAGGGTAAAATCGATCCATCCGATTCAGAAGGGCAAAAAGTCCATAAGTGATGGTGGGTTTTGATGTCAATCCATGGGCTCTGCCTTGGGCTGTGCAAAGCTTTTGCCTGGAGCAGCTCTGCTGCTTGGAGAGGCAAAACAAAGCTGGGAGAGGGGGGAGAGATCTCAAAGCCCAAGTTTTAAATAGCAGCACTGTGAAAGCTTTTAATACCCCAGAGCGGCCAGCACAGCGCAGGTGCATTCAGTGACCTGTTTTGTTCAGGCAGTGAAAGATGGCTTGGAAACTGCAGCTCTTTTTTTCCTTTGGTTCTGAGAATATTCCCTCTTGACCTGAAATGGTCTTAACGGCAGCGGAGACAAAAAACCTCACGTTGGTTTTACTCTTTGCTGCGTGTTGGAATCCCCTGTGTGGAGGTTTTCCGGGTCAGCTCAGTGCTGTTCTTGGGAACTCCTCAAACCAAATGAAACCCAGTTTGTGCCAGTGAACCTGTGGTCCATTATGTCCAATGGATGGCAAGGGAAAAATGCGCTCCAAAGGGGCTCAGTTTAAAGAGGAGCTTGGCTTGTAGACTTGCTCTGAGAGACCCACGGTGGAACACAAAGCTGGAGAGAGATGTGTTTGCGTGTGCAAGCATTGTAAGGGGCATTCATCCATGCACACACCCAGGAATGCACTGGGAAAGCAAGCAGAACTGTTTGAGTTTATAATATAATTTCAGTAATAATCAGATGTGAGGTCTGGACTAATATGTTTTCCCAATAGCTTTTCAAGGCTGAAACTGAGGTAAAATCCCTCTCCTGGTGACTGGCAGCACTACCAGGCAGCTGAGGGACCAAGTGGTACAGGACAAGTGCCTTCAGGTGAAGTTTCTACAACCTGTAAAGTGCTTTTGCCAGTCAGCACCTGAGGCTGTGCACCTGAATGCAACAGATGAGTGTTAAAGTCAGGTTTGAGGAGCTTTCTCTCTTCCTCTGCCCTAAGCTCAGTAGAGAAAGCTGCTTGGAAATCTGGCAGGGAATATATTGCCATCTGGCTGGTGTTATTTTTTCACTCTAGATTTATTTTTTCCCCCAGCACTGCAGAAAAAGACAGCTTTGTGCACACAGACGTGTTTCAGCCATGTCCTGCCCAGCAGGTACGCGGCAGCCGGTGGTGTTGGGTAAAGAATCTCACTCCCGTTGTAGGTTGAAGTCCTGCCATGTATATTCCTGCTTCCAGGATGTGGATTGTTGGCTGCTGCCCTGCTTGTTTTCATCAAAAGCTGCCGTGGCCCTGCAGTCTGATGCAGGACTTGTGGATATTAGTGCTTTGTTGAAAGCTGCTGTTGCAGAGAGCCTTGCATTTCCCTGATCCTTCAGCTTGGGTCCCTGGTGTGAGAGCTCTCATGCCTGTTTTTGCATTAAGCCCATTTTCTGTCTCAGTATTTCTCAGACCCAGCCTTGGCACCACAGCGACCAGGACTTCAGTGAGACCTCAGAATCCTTATGTGATGTGTTTCCTTCTTGTCCCTGTGTTGTCCCCCAAATTGTCTTGCTGCAGTTGGGTGTGATGGCTGTGAGGCTGCAAGTGTCCATGGACAGAATGATGGGAGCAGGTAACGATGTGGTGGAGCAAAGCCCTGGCCAGCCCAGGAGACTGTGTGTGCCTGCCCACTCCAGCCCCTCTGTGCAGGGTGCTTGTTCCACTGGAAGGAGGACAACTGGCCTGGCTCTTCCTTTGTGCCCCAGGGCAGCTCCTATTGCTGGTGTTTGCCCAGGGCTGGGGTTGCAGGTCAGCGTGGTCCGACCACTGCCCCAGGTCAGGGTCCAGGGGTGCTCCTTGGTCTCTGCTTCCATCTGCTGGACAAGCACTGGCTCCTGCTCACTCCCGGTCTCCCTTGGTGCCTCAGGGATTCTGCTGCTCCTTTTGACTGTGCTCATGTATATAATACTGGGGATGGAAATCCCTTTCACGCACGTATGGACCGGGAGAACATTTCAGTGTTGAACCAACTCTTTGGCAAGACTGCCCTGCTTAGAGTGAATGGCAATGAGCCTGGGGATGGGCTGAGCACAGCACATGCAGTGCAACCCTCTGTGGCCTCCTGCCATGCAGGCGGCTCTGCCTGCTGAGGCCAAAGCTCCTCTGCTTTGTATCCACAAGGAATTCAAATATGGGTTGTTTGAATGCTGCATGAATGGCCAGGGAGGGTCAGGCCAGACGTCCAGCAGTGCCATCTCCAGAAGTGACCACAGCAGATGCTGGAGGACAGCATGTGAAAAAACTGGGAAGAAAGAATATGGTGTTTCCTTGGACGTCTCCCTCAGCATCTGACAGCCAGGATCCCTGTCAGACAAAGTATCCCAGTGAGGACCATTTTGGGCTGGGGACTGCAGTGAGACCATATTTAACAGTCCCAATAAATGTGTCCGTCATGAACTTGTCTGAACCTCTTCGGTTTTGAACTCTGGAGCATCCTGAGAGTTTGTACTGTGCAGAAAGGTCCTGCTTTTATTTATTTGAGACCTTCTGCCAACAACTTTCTCTGCAGGCCTAAGAGTTACTGGTGCTACGTGACTCCTCTGCATTTACTTCTCCCTTCAACAACAAAAGTGTCCCTCAGAGCTAGAGGTATTTGAGAGAGCTGGAAGAACAGGGCTGCTACTGTTGAGGGTCAGGAACAGTCTGGTCTGCTCAAGAGTGCTCCGGTTGTTTTCATCTGACAACAGAAATTTGGCTGCTGCAAAGGCATTTCCTTAACCTTCCCTTAACCTCTGCTCAGCAGTGGGCAGACACAGGCAGAAGGTTGATTTCAAGCAGAATATCCCATTCTCAAGACATTGTGCAATGCAGCCTGGAGACCTTCCTGTAAACCTCGCTTGGTTTAAGTGTTGGCTGTAGGTCTGTGCACGTACAAGCTGCTCGGGGCTCTCTCCTCCAGATGATGGCTGATCAGTCTTTGTGCTGTCAGGTGAAGGCTGGGACACAACCCTGACCTTTCCTTGCTGCAGTTTACAGTCCAACATCTGGCTGTTAGGATTTCTGTAACCAAGTTACTGGATTCTTCCTGAGCTGTTCCAATGCCTTGGCGAAGGCTGTGAGTGTTGGTGTTGCTCTGAGGACAGCAGTGACTTTTTTTGTCTAGACAACAAACATCCACGTGGCAACAGTTTATGAAGGTGCTGGGTTGAAACTACTAATTTTCCTTGGGAAATCCTGATATTAATTTTTACGAAGGCCAGCATGATTAGAGTAAATCTGCAGGGCAGATTGTTCATTGCTTTAGTAAAAATATCATAGTTATGTAAAAGCAAGACCTGCTTTTCTCCTCCAAGTGGGCATGAGCTGTTTCCACACGTGAGACAGCCCAGGGAAGCATGGCCAGGGAGCCTGGGCTCTGCCTTCTCTGTTTCTCTAGGGACTTTGCAACTTGTAAGGACAGACTTCTCTTTTTGTTTTTGCCATTAGGTTCCCAGCCAGCAGGAGGAGATGTCACCATCGTGGCTGCTCCGGAGAACACCACGGTGGTGGCCGGGGAGAGTGTGGTGATGGAGTGTATGGCAGCTGCTGATCCCACCCCCTTCGTGTCCTGGATACGACAGGGTGAGTATAAGAGACAGGGTTAAGTCTGTGTTGTCAGGAGGAACCTGTGGATACTTTATTTTAAAAATCTATTAAAAGGTGAAAAAATCTGTGGGACGAGAAGGGTGCTCTCTATATTGGTACCTAGTGATGTAGGTGTAGGGTGTCCTTGCTGAAGTGGAATTATTAATTAAATCTTGAAGGTTACAGAGCACATGGTTCAATTTATAGTTGTTTGACCTGTGAAATACATGATGTTCTAGTTCCTGGATGCCTTTTGATCTAAATTAGTCTTCCTCATTGTATGAACTTGGGCAGTGAAGGTCACGAAGATGGGGTCAGGTGTATGTCACTCCTCCGGGGACTCGGAGGTTACTGAGGATACTGCAGACTGCCATTGCACTGGAGAAATAACTTGTATTATCCTGCAGCATTATAAGAGTTGATAAGATCTGTTAATCCTTGGAGTGACTGGGACTGTTGCAGGGAGGGTTTTGTTGAGTGGAAGGATCGAGGAGCTGCTGAGGTCTCGTCAGAGGTGTACGAGTGAGCTGGGATGGCAGATGTTACCCAGGGCTGATAGCCAGAGCCACGAGGAGGATGCCAGTGTCACTTCACTGAGAGTCACATCCATCAGATGTGTTTCAGAGGCTCTGACTGAAGATGTTCTCAGCTCAGAGGTTGATTCTCTCCCAGAAAAGGCTCTCAGTCATTTTCATAAATCCGGGTCACAGTTAAAGACTCCTCTCCCCTGTAACTGTTAATCATGGTTGGTTTTCAGCCCAGATTTGTCCACGGGCAGTGATTTTAGCATATAAAAATATTTCCTCTTCCTCACAAAAAAAGAGCAAAAAAATCTCAGAGGATACAACTTTGGAAATCAAAGCAGCAAGGATTAAATGTTCTGGCAGAAATATTCCTGGTTTATCCCGTGCACTTCACAATTACAAATGCTCAACGTTCCTGTGCTGATCACTTACTCACTGCTTTACTGAGAACTGCTGATGCCCATAGCAGAGTAGATATTATTAGAGTTAATTATCATTGTGAAAGTTTTTTGGAAGGAGGGAAGACAAGTGGGAAGTAGGGAAAGGCTGGTGTACCAGTTCTTTCCATGCTTTATTTCAAGTGTTTGCTTGGTCCCAATCTGCCTCCTGGTGTGGACTGTTCAATTAAAAAAGATGGATTAACAGTGCTAGTTGTTCTGTGTCACACAAGCACATTTCTTTCCAAGCCTTCGTTAAGGAGCAGGCTAGGTTACTGGACCATTAGTCATGCAGGGAACACCAAGGATGTACCTCCAGCTTGCCAGTTTGGCTCTTGCCAGCCTTGGTGGTGTCAGCTAATTGCTACCATCTGGAGTCAGGTTTTCCAACCACTCGAGTGCAAGCGGGGTGTGCAGATTGTCTCCTCCTGAGTGTGCAGCCACTGAACTGTGAGGCCATGTGAAGCCCCCCAAAATGGAGGGAGGGGGCAGAGGGTCTGCTCTCAGCCACATTTCCTGCTGATGGTGCTAAGCTGGTGCAGCTGCTCGCAGTGGAGGTGGGGAGTTTTCTTCTGTGTGAGATCCAGGCTCAGCTGAAGCTGTGAGAGGTAAGGGCAGGCAGTGCTGAGGTTGTGCTGCTGCAGGTGGAGAAGAACAAGGTCTGGTGGTGCACAGGTACTGCACAAATTGGCAGGTTTTCCCAGACTGCTGACTTGTGCCAGCCCTCCCATCCAGGCCTTTCCTCAGCTCGTCCCCAGCTCTGGGCTTTGTCTCCCACATCATTCAGAGGTACCAACACCACGTCCTTGTGTTTGTCAGACCAGATAAAAATGCTGAGAATATGCAGTGCCCAGCACCAGCCTCTGCACTGTCCATGATGCTGAGAAGCCCAGGGCTAGTTGAAGTTGTAGAAGGGCCACTTACAGGCAGGGATACAGAGCCACCCTGTCCTCCTTCCCTACTCAGCAGTGCTGAGCACCTGGCCAGGAGAATGGGGAGAGGGCAGCTCACAACCCATGTCTCTGACATGAACACTGGAGCCCCAAGGAGAACCAGATGCCTTCCTGATATCTCACAGCCAAGCTGGGGACAAGGAATGAATCAGGAAGCTCAGTAAATTTGGGTTCACATCCGGGATGCAGAGGAGGGAGGAACCCCTGAGTTGTCAGTGACTCAGCACTCTTGCTGACATTGCATTAACGAGTGAGGGGAGGTGTGTGTGTTTGTGATGGGGGTCAGCAGGTAGATCCAGCAGCTTTTCCAAAACATGTGTTAGCATGGCCTTCCCTTGAATATGCTGTTCCTGAGGGCTCTCATTGCAGGCACACCCAAGGCATCAGAGACTATTCTGATCCAAAACAGAACTTCTTCAGTTATTACAGGCTAAACTAAACCTTGTGCCAGTGTTGGCTTGAGCTGTCAGTCAAGCACTGAGGTGTGTCCCAGTGGGAACCCTCCTCTGGGATGGACTTTGGGATCTGGGGGTCTCTCCACTCCCCAGCTGCGATCCTGGTGTCGTTTACAAGCGCTCATAAAGGGCAGCCTGGGGCTCCCTCCCACATTTGTGCACGTTTCTTCCTGCAGATGGAAAGCCCGTGTCCACAGATGTGATTGTGCTGGGCAGGACCAATCTCCTCATTCCCTCCAGCCAGCCCCATCACTCTGGGGTGTACGTCTGCCGGGCCAACAAACCCCAAACCAGGCAGTTCGTCACCGCCGCCGCCGAGCTCCGGGTCCTTGGTGAGTAGAGAGCAGGGAAATGCTCCAGGTAGAAATGCTGACTAGGTAGCTGTGGATTGTGTGAACCAGCATCCAGGAGATCCCCAAGGAGCTGCGTTTGTGGCCTGTGCTGGGTAAGATGGGAGCCAGGTTAGAGCCAGGAGGCCCTGGATTGGGATAGCTCTCAGTGGGAGTGTCACCTCTTTAACTTGGGGTTTAGTTCCTGCTATTTACTGAACCGTTTTATGCCTTATTCTTGTTCTCCAGGGTTCTCCCATGGAAATCTCTATCAGCAATTAACTTTCAGTATCGTTGAAGCCAACAGGGAGAACAGCCTAGGATCAGGGAATGCAGCACATGATTGATACAGAATTTATTTTTCCTTTTGGACAGAGTCTAAATTAAGCCTCTAGAGTCTGCCTGGCAAATCCTATCTTGTAAGCAAAGCTGCTGCTGAATAAAACATAGCACCGAGTGGGGAGGAGAAGGGATTTGCTCTGCTATCTTTTCCTCCTCCTTCCCTCATTAATTTGCCCTCTCCCCTCCCAGCTACTCCCAGCATCTCCCAGGCTCCTGAAACCATCTCCCGCACCCGAGCCAGCACGGCCAGGTTTGTGTGCAAGGCGGAGGGGGAGCCAGCCCCCACCATCCACTGGCTGAAGAACGGGGAGCCCATCCTGTCCAACGGGCGCGTGAAGGTGCAGAGCAGCGGGAGCCTGGTCATCAACCAGATCGGCCTGGAGGACGCCGGCTACTACCAGTGCGTGGCTGAGAACAGCCTGGGCACGGCCTGTGCCACGGCCAAGCTCTCGGTGATCGTGCGGGAGGGTTTGCCCAGCGCTCCCAAGAAGGTGTCGGCCGTGTCCCTCTCCAGCACCACAGTGCTCGTGTCCTGGGAGCGCCCGGAGCACAACAGCGAGCAGATCATTGGCTTCTCCTTGCACTACCAGCGGGCTGTGGGTGGGTGTCACTGCCTGTGACCTCATTAAAGGCACAAGGCACAGGTTGACTTTCCTTCCCAGCAATTGCAGTTGGTTTAGCTCTTTTCGTTGCAGGTAAAGGAGTTTTCTCTTGGAGTCAGCACCGGCCTGTGGCAGTGCCTGCGGATTAGTCAACATGTTCTGACTTGTTGAATGGCAGTAGCATGTCCACATAGCTGAGTTGTCTGGATTCTTATGGGACCAGGCACTTCTGATTTTATACACAATGATTTTATATGCAAAGACTATGATTGCTAATGGAGATATTAACCAACTACATTGTGTACAAGGACAATCACTAAATTGTTCACACTCAGAATCTAAAGTGAGGTACTTGGGTCTCTTGGCGTCTGTCTTCCCAAAGAGCCAGCAAGCCAATACTCTTGCTGAACTGCTGCCAGAGCTCCTCTGGAAATTAAACTGGTATCTGCAGCTACCTCAGCATGGAGCTCGAGTCAGAATGGAGGTGTTAACATTGAGGCATTGGATGTTTCTGCTCAAAGAACTCATATAAGAGGTGGGGCTTGTGCAGGTGCTGGGGGCATTGGAGAATGCATTGATTTTTAAAGTGTATTTACACTGTGGACCTTGTGAGTTAAGTGATTTTTTTTTTTTTAAGAGTGTCTTGGCAGTTCACTGACCTGCTGATCAGTGTTTCCTTGGCTCTAGGAACAGATAACGTGGAATACCAGTTTGCTGTCAATAATGACACCACTGAGCTGCAAGTCAAGGACCTGGAACCCAACACCAACTATGTCTTCTACGTGGTCGCATATTCCCAGCTCGGAGCCAGCCGGACATCCTCTTCCATCATTGTCCAGACCCTGGAGGATGGTGCGTTGAGTTAAATGGGCACTGGTGCCTAAAAAATATTCCTGGCAGTAGCAACTCCTAGAAACCCAAACCTGCACCTTGGTCTGATCGTCACTTGGGTGATTAAGGGCATGAAAATGACCTGGCTGACAGTGGGGCCCATGAGAATCCTTTGGGAACTGCAGTCAGCTCCTCAAGGCTTTCACCCAGCTCATATGATATTGCTCCAGGCTTGACTCTGGGCCAGACTTGATTTCAACTCAGAAGAAACATCTATTGCAATTTGTAGGGGTGGGAGCAGCCTTGAGGTCAGATCCCTTAAGAGCCAGTAGTTTGTGTTGATTTTGCCATTTATCACATAGCATTTTGTGAGCAGTAGAGGCAGAGTGCCAGGAGGACAGCTGCCCAACGGGAGGACATGCACAGCTTTCCACAGGCTGCAGGACAGAGGCAAACAGTGATGGTTTTGGCAGACCTCATGTGCTTTATGTGCTTTTAATGCTCCCGACAGTGACCTGCGTGGTCCCGTGTGTGTGTGTGTGTCTGAAGCCTGAAAGGCTGAGTTGAAAGCATGAAAGCTGCTGCAGCCAGAGCTGTTGTTCTTGAGGGAATGAGGATTCCCAGGCTGCAATCTGGATCTGTGAGCCATTTCCTTTAGTCTCTCCTTTGTGCTCCACATACAGCACAAGCTGATAGCTGGTGTGTGCCAGCCTGCCCAGTCTGCAGGGGACATGGATCCCTGGGAGCAGTGTGGCTGGACAGGCTCTGCTCAGCCTGGAAGTGGAGCAGCCCACCATCTCCCCTCCCCAGACACCCCTCAGATGCTTTGAGGGGTATTGGTTCCCCTTTGTCACCAGTGGCCAAGATCAGGTAGTGGCCTCCAGCCAACTCAGAGACCTGGCAGAGATGTGTTGAGGTCTTGCTCTGCTCTTTGCTGACTTCTCGTGGTTGATTCCACCCAGTTCCCAGTGCTGCCCCTCAGCTGTCCCTGTCCAGCATGACTCCTGGTGACATCCGTGTGACGTGGCTGCCCCCTCCTCCAGAGCTGAGCAACGGCAAGATAACCAAGTATAAGATCGACTACTGCACCCTCAAGGAAGGTGAGTGGAGCACCATCTGGGGGGTTGAGTCCTCTGCTCCAGGGGTGTTAATAGTGTGTCATGGGGAGGGGAGGAGGTGAAAGGCTGGAAATGGGGGGACCCCTCTTACCCAAGGCAGAGCAGCTCTCTTGTAGCCTGGCCCTGCTGGTCATGGCAATGCCTTGTGCTACTTCACATGACTTCAAGGTGCCTTTTCCTGTGACTGTGGAGGAGCTGTGTCCCCAGGGGAATGGCCTGACCCATGTTTGTGCTGCTCCAGGAATGTCTGCATAGGCAACCTTTCACTGCCATCTGAACTGTGTGTTTTGGGGGAAGAGCTTTATGCTGCTTGGGGACGAGGGGTAAATGCTTTCACTTTCTTTAAGATGGAGTCTAATCAAAGTGATCCCTGTGGAAAAAAACCAAAACCACAAGTAATCCTGTCCAGGCTGTGTTGCTCTATTGCTGGGTGTTTTCCAGTTTTATTTACACTGTCAGGTACTCTAAGCAGCGTTCAGCAGGGATGGTAACATTTACCTACCCTGGATGTGGCTGTTCCAATTCCATGTGTGCTTGCTTTGCAAATCCTTCTGGGTATTTGCTCTTATAACCACCAAAGCTCTGCAGCTTCTCACTTCCCAGGGTCATGATTCTTCCTGAGAGAAGGATGGGGAGTGTGAGGTGCTGGACATGTTCCCATGTATTTGAACTGGGTTAGTAGTCTGTGCTGTGATTCCTGGCTCTTGTTCTTTGCCTTGAGCCTGCACATGGCTCTGTGGCGTTGTAAAACCTTGGAAACACTTGCAATCCAGGGATCACACTCAGCAATACTCTGTTACATAGCAGAGACAGCGCTCCCGGCTGAGTTAATGCCAGGGGAAGCTGAAATTAAGACCTCTGCATTCTCCAAACAGGCAACATGAATCTTCAGCAAGACCAGTTAGTTGTTGTTGTGAAAATCCCAGGCCATTCTTAGTTTAAATTTCCTGTTATCCCCCTTATGAACTTGGGTGGGCTGAAGAGGGAGTGATAAAACCTTCGTCTGGCTTGGGTGAAGGTGTGAATTTTGCAGAAAGCAGGGCTGCTGGACAGTTCTGGTTCAAATTAAGGTGAGGATTTAAATACAGCAGTGAGAAGCACTGGAACATACCATCAGCTCCCATCAGCTGTGCTCATGTTCTGCCGTCACGTCAGCAGCAGGGTTTCTGACAGCTCCCTCCGGGCAGGCTCCGTGTGCTGAAGGCAACCTGCAGTTTGGAATGTGATGAAGGGAGTTGTCAGTCAGGATATCAACTCTGCCCAGCCTTCAGTTCTGGTTTCTCTCGGTGGTGTGAGATTGCACTGGGCCAAGCCAAGCCAGCCCAGGGCGTTCAGACCACGTGGGGCAGCGAGGCTTGTGGCTGCTCAGCTGTACTTCCCTTTGGCTGGGAAATCCCTGTTTTCAGTGGTGTCCCCTTGGTTCCAGCAGATCAGGTCACCTCCATCGAAGTGGGTGGAAATGAGACCCAGATCACGCTCTACTCGCTCCATCCCAACAAAGTGTACAAAGTCCGGATCGCAGCCAGCACCAGTGTGGGATACGGGGCCCCCTCCGAGTGGACCCAGCACCGGACTCCTGACAGAGACAACCAGACACACGGTAGGAGCCTGGGAATGCCTGGGATTTGGGGCAGGGTGTGGGGAACTTCAGCCATTGTCAGAGATTCTTGCTTTGCTTTGGGAATTACAGCCATTGGTTTTGGTTAGAGCAAAGTGCTCACCTTTATCTCACTGCTCAGCAGCCCCTGTACCTCCCCCTGCTTGCCTGGGCAGTGGGTCTTTCCTCCCTCCATGTGCAGCTGGGAAAATTCTTAAAAAAGAAAGAAACCCCAGACCCCAATGTTATGACATTTGGGAGGGAATAGACAATTCTGCCAGGCAGAGCTGAGCCCACACCAGACTCCAGCAGTGGTTAAAGACAGAAATATCTCAGAATACATTGAGAAATCCCCATAGTGGCTTTGTGACATGGTTGTATCACCCAGCTGGGAATGTAACTATCCCACTCTCCACTGCCAGGCAGTGGAGACATCCCACTCAGCACAGCCTTTCCTCACATCCCTCCCTCGCTACTGAGGACAGGGAGGATTCAGTAGAGCAGGGACATGGAGACAAGTGGCTGAACGTTCTTCTCCTGTTCTTTTTCTCAGTTCCCTTTGCCCCAACGGAATTAAAAGTCCGAGCGAAGATGGAGTCTCTCCTGATAACGTGGCAGCCCCCAGCCAACCATGCCCAGATATCTGGCTACAAGCTCTACTACCGAGAAGTGGGCCCAGAGGAGTCCAGCAACGAGAGCCCCTTGGATGGTGCTGAAGATGAGAGCTGGGACGTAGGACCCATAAAACTCAAGAAGAAAGTGAAGCAGTATGAACTGACTCGACTAGGTTAGCTGGTTCCATCTTCCTAGCAGTTGGTGTGGAAACCCAGGGCCTGTCTCTTGAACTTTGCAGCATCCCAGGGTGCTCCCAGGAGGCTCAGTTGTTTGCTTGGCTGGAGATACACAGGCCCAGGGCCATGTGGGCTGTTTTAAGAGCACTCCAAATCCTTTCTGGAGTGGGGCTCTTGGGGCTTATTCTGAGCAGAGTTTAAGCCACGGAAATTTCTGATGCCAGTGTAGCAGGGCTTGTATTTTTAACCAAGGGTAACCAATATACTTAGTATATGCTAATAAGTGATTCTTAATCAATTAGTGTTTTTAATGTGTCACTGTAAAGAGTGCCAAGATTGAAATCTCCAGTCAGGACAATGATCTCTCCTTCCCTGTGTGTTTCTAAGGAGCTCCATAATTGCATCCTGTTTGAAATCTCTCTGTATCACAATGCAGAGATGGGATAATTCACAGCATGCTAATTTTGGGGCAGTATTCTCCTGCCCCTCCCTCATAAAGGAAAAGGGATGGAAGAGTGAGTGTCCATGGCTGGAGCACATCTGCAGGGCAGTCAGATCTGCCTGCCTGGCTCACTGCTCTCAGTGTTTCCCATAAGGAGTTATGTCCCTAACATCTGATTGTATTAATTAATTGATTTGCCCGTTGATACAGGATGGAAAGAGAGAGGGGAGAGTCATGGAAGATGAAAGTGGAGTTGTTCTGTCCCCCACTTCATGCTTCATCCCTGTTTTTGCCCAGTGAGCCGAGCCTGCAGGGTGCGTGTGTCATGTGCTGGTTCATCTTACACTTGTGGCATATTTATTATGCATGGTGGGAAGGCCAGGCTGCAGCACCTGGAAGGGCTGGTTGTGCCATCACTAAGTGGGTTCCCAGCTCTGCCACAGCCATCTTGCTGCTGAGAGGGTGTTAACAGTGATGAGCTTCTCTGAAGAACTTTGGTCTGTAATTATTGCACTGGGGGAACCACATGTGAACATCATCACGCGCTGCTCTAACCGCTGGCAAGGCAGCCAGCGGAGGGGCTCGGAGTGGGCTGAATTGGTTCCAAATGCTCTGGCATGGTGATGCTGAGAGGGCTGCTTGTTCTCCTGTAATTACTTCCTTAAATTTGGGCATCCGTCAAGCCCTAATGGTTTCCTTATGACCTGGGGGTTGTGTGTTGGCTATTGCTGTGTCAGGAACAGAGTCTCGGGTTTCTCCCCGCCGTGGATGTTCCCTTTTCTCCCCTTGTGCTGTTGAATGATGTGCTCCTGCACGCTTCCAATAAAGGAAGGGTCAGGAATCTGGTTGTGCTGAGGAAGGCAGGGGGTCTGGATATGAAACAAGGAGGAGTGGTTGGGATTTAGAAGGGTTTAGTTTTACAGTGCAGAGCTACCCTGTGCTGGTACTTGGGTCTGCGTCTTGTAGGCAGAGCTGGTAGTGGTCTCAGGAAAGGTTGGCAGCCCTAATGTGATCTGCATGTGGGCTGATGGAGAATCAGCTGGGGGGGTTTCCCAGCTCATGGATGTCTGCCAGGGAAGCACAGCACTGGAAACCTCTCCTGTGATTCCCCTGTAAAAACAAAGAAAATGCCCAACACTGTGTCTTGGGAGTACCTACAACAATCATCAAGTCCAACTGCTTGACTGCTGACCAAAAGTTAAAGCAGATTCTGTCTAAATGCCTTTTAAACACTGACAGGCTTGGAGCATCGACCACCTCTCTAGGAAGCCTGTTCCAGTGTTAGCAATGGTGTCAGGAAATCCCAGGCTGGGTACTGGGAAAACCAGGCTATGGCTCAGATGTGGTCACATACCATGTCAGTGCAGGCAAGGTCCAGCACAGTGCCTACATGTCCCCTGACTGAAGGCAGCACTCTGCCCCTTGTCTTGGTTTGAGGTGTGGCCTGAAGGACAAAACTCCTGTCCCACTCCTTGCTCCTGCATAGCTCCTGATTGTCCTTGGGTTTTTTTTTTCCAGGAGCACAGCAGGGCAAGAAAGGAAGCACTTTGTGGGGTGAGAGCTCCCTTCGAGGCACACCCCAGGCAGAGGTGGATGGGGGTGCAGAAACAGCTTTGGCCAGAGCTTCTGGAGCACAGTTACTGTTACTACCATCTCATGCTAATCTCTGGAGCAAACGGTGTCTCCTTAGAGTGGTATCACTAATGTCACACCTTGTGTGTGCTGAAGTCCTGGTGAGAGATGGGCAGCTATTTAAGGGCACATAAGAAATCCAGCAATTTCATGAGGTCACAAAATCAAAAGGAAGCTGTCCTGAATCACCAGCAAGGCTTTTCCCTGAGGAATTCTTACTGATTTCCATCTTACTCTCTGTACTGGTGTACAACTACCAGGGCCATAATTTATTCGAAAAATAAATGGTAAGGATCTGATCCTGTCTTCCACATTCCCATGAAGGAAGATTGCATTCCTCTGGGAGTCTGGAAGTTAGGGTATTTTCCCACTTAAAGGAAAGTATGGCTGGCACCTGGCCAATATGAGCACCTTGAAACGCTGAGTGAAGCAACATATTTAGCATATTGGATATATTATGCAGTCATTCAGATTAGTGATTTGAAATGATCTGGACTAGATTATTCTGCTTATATTTAATGTATGATGGAATGCAGTGAAATACATCTGTTTTCATGCTGCCTACTAGCTTCTTGACAGCTTGATAGAGCTTTATGTCTGTCTGTTCTAAGAGCTTGAACATCTGGGCCTGTGTATAAAATTTGAAGCCAAGCCTCTGACTGAGAAATCCAAAATACCCCTATTTTCAGGATGTGAGGTGCTCCATCTTGTAGTTGAGCTCCCCTGGCTTCATGTGTAAGTGGCTGCTGTGTCCATCCTGCCCAGGGATGGAGATGGAGGACTTGTCCTCTCCTTCACTTCATTCCCCAACAGGAGCTTCCCACAGCTGCATCACATCTGTGAGCTCTTCCTCATCCTTTGGATCACATCATCCACAAAGAGCTCATGTCCTAGCAAAGCCCAGCCAAAGGCTGGGGCAGGAGGAGGAGTGTCTGTGCTGGTGAGAGACGGGCTGTGGGGCTCTTTGTTCCAGCCCTTTGGAAGTTGAGTGCCCTTTGGTCTCATCCCCCTTGTGTGGGTTTGAAACGTTTTTTCTGTGGCTGGAGAGTGTGGAAATGCAGATCAGGCTGTCTTGGAGGCAGACAAAACTCTGTTTGCTTTTGGGATTCTTTAGGGAAGAAAAATGTGGCAGAACTGTTTTTATATTCTGAGCGCGAACGTGTGTTGTGGAGCAGAGAAAGCCTTTGGTAATTGGTACCATCAGCCTCTGGGAGCGTAATCAGGGCAGTAATAATAAAATTGGCATCAATAGGAAAGGTTTTATTCTGCTTACGTTGTCTGGCAAAGAGAGCAGTGATCTATGAGGGCAGGGAATGAAGAGGCATGTCCCAAATTAACAAACTTCATCAATGCACTGCAGCTAAGGCAACCAAAGGCGGTGTGGACTGCTCTGGCTGGGCTCCTGAAGGAGTGGCTGCTGCAGGGAGTGTCTTCTTTGAGAATTTTGTATCTCCCAGATTGTTTCCTTGATTAAATATCTCCATTAAAAAAACCCTCAGATGTTGCAGCAGAAGAGTATTTCAACTGATGAAAGGCTGGAGGAAAAAGAAGTGAATTTTGGACCTCACTGCTGGGACACAGAGCACCCTGTCCATCAGCTCAGTTTGGGTCCAAGTGTGAGATTCCCCACAGTTCAAGGTTCTCTGATGGGAGGAGTGTGTAATGAGGCCCCTCGGGTTTCTGGTGTGGGTTTTCTGTGCACTGTTGCTTTTCTAATTGCAAATCAAGAAACTGCAGTGGAGTCAAAATAGTCACAATACAACAAAAGCTGCCAGTGGCTTAACAGGGCGTGTGAGGACTCGCTGGAAGGAAGATCCTCACAGCAGTGAATAAATCAGAAAGAACCATGGAAATGGGAGGTGCATTTGGGAGAGGAGAGAACATCCTCACTCCTCAAGAATAAGCAGTGCAGTGCAGTCTCCTCCATGGGGGAGAGAGGAGTCACTGTGCAGGTTTCTTTAGCAGTTTGCAAGGGAGAAAAATCAGGAGATCTTGAGATGATGTGCTACAAACCAGGACACTGGTTAACCCTTGGGGGCTGGGGCAAGTCCATTTCCTGCTGATAATTTCTGTAAAAAGTGAGGGGAGAACTAGAGAGCAGCTGTGCTGATACGTGCACCAGCTGTGAGACAGTTTTGTATGTGGGAAGCCTGTAAGTGGAAGGGGGACTCCCTGCTGTAATTTAGGTATTAGGTGATATTTATTTAGGTATTAGTTAATAAAAACATATTTATTATGTTCAGGCTACTTTCTTGGATGGTGAGAAAAGCTGGTCTGATAAAAAAAACCATGTCTAACGCGGGAGGGTTGGTGACAAAAATAACCCCAGACAAACCCTGACTGATTTTTTTCCAGCTCCTGGGAAACTCTACGAGGTGAAGCTGGTGGCATTCAACAAGCACGAGGATGGTTATGCAGCTGTTTGGAAGGGCAAAACAGAGAAGGCACCGGTGACAGCAGTAGGTGAGCAATCCTCTTTGTCGTCTTTCTCCTCTGCTTAGCACGTGGCTTCAAAGGAAGGGTAGGGGGAAAGCTACAGAAGATGAGCTTCAAGAAGGACAATATCAAAATGGGGAAGGTCCCAATATAAGGCAACGTGCACCGACAGTCATTGCAAAATGCATTGGAGGAATTAGGAAGGAGAGAAAGGAGCAAAATATCCCCCTTCTCATTAGGGTTGTTCTTACGCTGCGTGTAAGGTTTGCACCACCCCCAACCTCCCCAACAAAGGGGAGGAGGAGAGTTTTGGGATGTGTGGTGGGGAAATTACTGTCACGTGCATCTCCACATCTCTTTTCTTTTTGTTTTGTACCACAGATCCCCCTGTGCAGAAGGGTCCTCCTCTGCCTCCAGTCCAAGTCTATGCAGAGTCCAACAGCTCCACTTCCATATGGCTCAGGTGGAAGAAGCCTGACTTCACAACAGTCAAAATTGTCAACTACACCGTGCGCTTCAGCCCCTGGGGCCTGAAGAACGCCTCTCTCGTGACGTACTACACCAGGTAAAGAGGGATGCCAAGGGTTCATCTGCCTTGGATTGCTCATGTCAGCCATGAACACGGGGCAGGAGCAACCTGCATGGAATTTCCAGTACTTAGCAAAATCCTGGGTGCTGGAACATTTGCCGTGGTCACAGATAATGTTCAGAACTGCTGAGGTGTCGCAGTGGGGCTTGTCTTTGACTTGAATACCAAGGAATCATTTACTGGTCTCTGCATCTTTTTTGCTCTGTTTGGACCTTACACACTTGTTCCTCTATTAACAACATGGCTGGGTGCAATTATGGCCAGTCTCAAAGCATTCATGATTTGTGAGATGATCCTCACAAGTTTGGTTTATAAACTGCTAGAGTTGAAGCAGTTACAATAATTTGGGAATGTATTTTTCATCTGGATTCCTGTGCAGATTTTCAGCCTCTAACCAGGCTATTTTCAGGCTTTTCCATGCAAGTACATCAGAAATGGGTCTGGAGGCTGGGAACTGCTTTGCTCTGCACCTGCGAGCTGAGTGTTCTTGCACTCACATGGCTGCAGGAGACAAAGGTTTAGGTGAAAAACAAAATACTGTAAGAATTAGGATAACCTCTTAAAGTGATCCTGGTAAGGTGTCAAGGTGACATGGGAGAACCATCAGGTGGTCATGACCTTGTGCTGTGTCCTCTCCCCCCAGCTCTGACGAAGACATTCTCATCAGTGGGCTGAAGCCCTACACCAGGTATGAGTTTGCTGTGCAGTCCAACGGCGTCGGCATCGACGGCCCCTTCGGCAGCGTGGTGGAGCGCTTCACCCTTCCCGACCGTGAGTAGTCACGGGAACTGAGCCCTGACTTATCCTGCTTTTCCCTGAACCTCTGTCAGTGCCCTCCTGATGTACCCTGAGAGATGTGGTCTCAGACCCCATCTGAGCTCTGATGTCCCTGGGGGTGAACGCTCTCCCCCTCTTCCTGCTGCTCAGGATGGGTCTTGTCTCTGCCAGGCCCCTCCACTCCTCCGTCTGACCTGCGGCTGCACCCTCTCAACCCCTACGCTGTGCAGGTGCACTGGTGCCCACCTGTGGAGCCCAACGGCATCATTGTGGAGTATCTCATCCTGTACAACGCCAACAACACGCAGCCAGATGACATGTGGACCTTGCTGACGCGAGAAGGTGAGCCTCCTGCAGGTGCTGTAGTACCCCACCACTCCTCCTCCTGCCTCCTTCCCTGCCTCTGGAGCGCTGGTCACTCAGTCCTGCTGCCCTGATTTTTGCCTCACCAAATATTGAAGAGCTCCTGGTGCCAGCTTTCCTGGAGCGCCTGCTGGGCCTTGCTCCTGGTCACATCAGAGAGTCCAGGGACACGACTACTGAGAGACATGAAATCAAACATGTCTAGGGCTGAAACAGCCGGTGTCACCCAGGAAACATCCCGCACATACAGGCTGGCAGCCAGTAATTCCTAGAAAAACGTGTGCCAGCAGCACCATGTGCAGTCTGTATTATCAGCTCTGTAACCAGCAAGTTCATTAATACTGAAGAGGTGTATGAAATGCCTCTTGGAGCTCATGTCACAAAATCCCTCACTTCTGAGGGTCCAAGCAGAATTTCGTTGCTGCTTTGCTGCAGCCTCTGAATGCTCTTGAAACTGCACATTTTAAATTTCTTTTGACTTGCTTTTGGTCAGGAAATATCTTCAGCACTGAAGTGCATGGCCTGGAAAGTGATACGAGATACTTTTTCAAGATGGGAGCAAAGACAGTCGTGGGATCTGGTCCCTATTCCAACGTTAAGGATGTGCACACCCTCCGGGAGAAGTTGTCTGGTATGAATTCCCCCCTTGTCCTGGGGCAGGAAGTGAGAGCTGTGTTGGTGAAGGCCATGATTTGTCAGCAGTGACATTTCTGATTGCCAAGCCATTGCCTGATGTCACTGTGTAGGATGTGAGATATAATTCTGTGTAGGCAGGAGCAGAGGATCACAGCAGCTCCAGAATCCATCCCACAGCCAAACTTCATCCCTCTTCCCCATCCCAGTTCCTATGGAAGGGCACCTGCAACCTTTCTGTAGTGTGAGATTAATTAATGTGCACAGATGCCAGATTGCCTTAAGCTGCTCTAAATTATCCCTGCCAAGGAATCTTCCTCCTCTATGTGTATAGAATCATAGAACCATGGAATAGTTCGGGTTGGAAGGGACTTTTAAAGGCATGGCCTTTTGGGTGTAGTACAGCTGGTGCTTCTTTGAACATGAGAGACTTTGTACCTTCTTCCTGCTAGCAGCTGAAATAGTGTATCCATCCTTCCTTCCCCTCCTAGATGTCCTGGATATTCACTCTGTCACGGGGATCATCGTGGGGGTCTGCCTGGGGCTGCTCTGCATCCTCTTCTGCATGTGTGCCAGCTTCCGAAACAGCAAGCACAGGTGGGTGTCACCTCACCCGGGCAGCAGGGAAAGGAGGCTGCTGTGGAAGGAGACAAATACACTGGGAGCTGCATCCCCTGTCCAGCTGTGCTGCCTGGGATGCAGTGTAGGACAGAGTTAATGCACAGATTGAATCTTGGGAGTGCTCGCTGGATAAGGAGCATATTTAGTATAATCTTTTCACTGCTTTATTTTCTCAGTAGTTTCTCTTCAATTTGTATTCTCGGACTATTAGGAGTTTTTTTTTCAGAGAAAGAAAAAGCCCCAAGAAAATGGAAGAACCAGATTATTACCTGTGTCTGTTAGTGTGGGCAGTATTTTGCTTCTGAGGTTGGACAGCTCTAAGGATGTTTGGAAATGGTTTGTTAACTTCCAGCTGGGAAAATAATGAAAGACTTCCCAGTGAGTGACAGGCTGGTTTAAGGAGGATTGGATGCAGCCCAAAGCCCCCTGCTATCCCAGGGGTCTGAATCCAGCCACAAGCATTTGGAAAGACCATGAGCAGAAAACAGCTCAGTTGTTGAGAAGAGCTCTGAGCTTACAGCAGATCTCAGGACTAGGGACAGGCAGCTTCTGGAGTCTTGTCCTAATGTGGCCACTGAACTTTCCTGTCCTGTTCCATCTCTTACCTGTAAAGCAGAGGTGACAGGACTGTCAGCTCCCCATGGGCCAGGGTTAGTGAGTGTCCTGTTCCAGTGCTGGGACTCGTGGTGTCTGATGGCCTTAGGATCTGCAAGGAGAGCTTTGCATCCCTCACTGGGATTTGTCTGAGCTTTGGGATTAGCAAAGGTGGTGGAGATGCATCTGCAGTGAAAGCTGTTACAGTGGGATGTGGACAGAGGATCCCCTTCCTCTAGAGGGGCAGGGCAGGGTTTGGGCCGTGGGCTTCCACAAGGACCAGCTGAGATGTCAACTCTTGCTTGTTTTCCCTCAGGGAGGCCCTGCCAGGCCTGGATTCCCAGGCTGCTGGCAACCACACGTACTACCACCGGAACAGGCAGGGGATGGCTGCTCCCAGTGCCACCCTGGACTCACATGAGCTTGAGTCTCTCATGTCCCCACTCCCAGAGGATGCACCCGTGCCCCTGGGGGACATCACAGAGCTGACAGAGGTGCACAGCCTCATCCACACGAGCCTCCCCGAGGACATTCTCCATGGGAAGAGGAAGGTAAGGACACATATGCACATGGCCACTGGGCTCCCCCCCCGTACAAGAGCTTTTGTTTGGTGTGTGGTGCTGGGAAGCCAGGGTTGGATCCTGTCCTGGCTCTGCAGTGCTGGCAGAGCTGGTGCTGGGCAGCCACACATTTCCCTCTTTGTAAAACTGACTGACTCAGCCTTGGCTGTCAGATCTAATTTGGGATCCCTGTGCCATCGACTACTGCTTTTTACTTCCTGAGACAGTGATCCCTCATCCCAAGAAGCTGCTGCCAAACTTGGTGCTGCAGAAAGCTGCACTTTTCCTTTTGCTGTGCCATGTGGATGGTGTGAGGAAATGTGATGGCTAGAGCAGACACTCAGCCTTTTGCTTGGAGTAAAAAGAGCTCTGTCCATGAAGAGTGTATCCACTGGAATGCCCTAGAAGATAAACAAGAGGTGAAACTGTGGGGTTTTTGTGAACCTTATTTTTTAAGTAGTTTTTTCCGGCCCTGCTTGGTTTGCCTGACATTGCATTGTCTTTCATTCCTCCGTGCCCATTTTGTCTTTCAAGCTTGCCTGAAACATTTCATTCCATTAGGGAACCTTTAATTGGCCTAATTTAGTTAATCTGTTTATGTCTCTCTTTGTAGCCCTGGGAGAGCATGTAAAGTAATTAGGAGGTTCAGTAAAACAAATGTGTTGTGAGCACGTGGGATTTCAGGTTTGCATCAGCGATGCGCTCGTGGGTCACCGGAGGGAAGGTGAGTTCAGGTACCTGGCTGACCATGAGCCCTGTCCTGGCTGTGAGAGGCAGTGCAGGTGTGATCTTTTGGAACCTCAAAGTCTTCTGCTGAGCTAGAAGACATCTTTAGTATCCCTGGGAGCTGAAGCCGTGCCCGTGGCCATCCCTGCCTGCTGTGTCAGATCAGCGCTCAGCTGAAGGAGAGGCTGTTTAGGCTGTTTGTTTGCAGCCAAGCCACATCCAGGGATTGTGGTGGAATGTAGCTGCCTGTCTGGATCCAAGCCGAAGAGTGTGAGGAATTTCCTACAGCTCTTTCTGTTAAATAAGGAACAAATGTTTTCAGGGATGGGGACTTACCCTTGAGAACAGGTAAGGGTGGGGGGAAGTTCCCTTCTTCGTGAGGCCTTTCTGGGGGCAGCATATCCAGATCTCTCTTCCAAAGCAGCAATCCTGTCTGCAAGGGTTTAAACCGAGATGTGAATGTGTGCAGAGCAGGGGCTGGAGAGGGCAGTGCCAAGGCCTGGCTGCTCAGGGCTCAGCCTGAGAGCTGGGGCCCTCAGAGGCTGCCAGTGACCAGCAACGAGTTATAGCCAGAGACCAGAGCTTTGGGGAGAGGGACAGTTCTGGCTGTAGGGTCTGTTCATAATTGGATGGGAAAAGGCTACTGTGAGTTAAATTCACTGAGGATTTTTTTTTTTATGGATGTGGATAGGCAAGCAAGGGTCACTGGGAAGCAGCTGCAGGCAGCCACCTGGAGAGCAGGGTTGTCACCAATGCTGAGCAGGGAGGGTGACCTGGCAGGTGGTGTGGTGGCCGGGAGCAACAGGCTGTTGTTGCTGGGAGTGGGCACTGGAGGGAGATGTGCTCCCACACAGGAGACCCCGCTCCCTCCACTGCCCGGCTCCTGCTGGAAGTGTCACCTGAGCAGGCTGCATCCTGTCTGTACTCTGTATAAGGTACAGAGTATAATCAAGGGTGAAAAGACTCGGAAACACATTTATGCTGCAGTTGCCAAGAGCCCTGTGTCTGGAGGGGGCTGTGTTGTTCCCTGGCTGGGTGGTCAAGGAGCTGGGCAGTTCTCCTCTCATGGCTGGAGCAGTGCACACCTGCCTGGTGCCCACAACAATGTAAATCAGGTCTGAGCAGCTGAGAGTGTGTGCATCTCCCTGCTTGTACACAAAGTGCCTCTAGTCCAGTCCCTGGAGTGGGTGTGGGTTCCTTGGGTTGTCTTGTGTGCTGCAAATAGCTCCCTCCAGCAGCCATTGAGTCTGGAAACCCCCAGGGACCCTGCCTGGAACAGAGTGTTGTGGGAGCTTTGCACCCTGCAGTGAGCAGCTGCCTTTGTTGCCTTCTCTTTTCTTTTCTCATGCTGTGTGTGGTTGGGGCTGTGAAAATCCATGGCAAGGAATATGATAGAGCCACAGAAAAGAGAAAATCCTTGTGGAAGGAAATTCCTGGTCCAGCCTGGCAAGGGGAAGCTCCCCAGGGTGCTCTAGGTTGGATAGTATGACTGGCAGTCTTAGACATAAAAGAGAGGAAGTGAGAAATGTCGGAAGAATCCCTTAAATAACAGTGCATCGTGTCACCACAGAGCTCAGGATGTTGGCTGGGCCAGACTCTTGGTGCAGTGCTGCTGCCACTGCTGGGCAGGTTTGTGTGGCTGTGACCCCCAGTTGCCTCCTTGTCTCCCTGTCCTCAGGTTACACGCTCCCAAAACCTGGTTTGTGTTGTCCGGATGGCACTTGCCATTGGTGGTGGCAGTGATTGCTGCTCTGTGTCTGCAGGCTGCTCACATCCTGGCTTTTACTTGGCATTCTATGGATTATTCTTTCTTGGTTTTATTCTTGTGGCAGCCCGAGGTTCTAGTGGAGGTTGGAGGCTCCATGTTAGGAGGTGTACAGACACAAAGAGGGAACTGTCCCCATGCCATAAGGAGTCAGAAGTGAGCAAATGTCACTTTGCAGGTGTGAGGCCAAAGGGCAGAAAGTCTTTAAAAACACTGAGATTGGAAGAGACTTCTGCAAAGAATTTCAGGAAAGGGTTTTGAGATGTCCCCTTGGTTGTTTTCAAGATCACCCTTCAAACTTACAGCCGTGATTCCTCTTGAGCTCTTACATGTAATGCTGGGGGTGCAGGATGGTGCAAGTGGAAGTTGGGACAGTCCCAGAGGAGTCTCCTGGCCCCCCCATGTCCCTGCCTGCAGGACAAGAAGGTGCTACTGCAGCCAAGCTGTCAGCACAGGGCCCCTCTGGATGCTGGCAGCTCCATTGGGCAGGAGAACACAGCCATTTAATGGCCCATTTTCCTTCCCTTCTGTGTGTTTCCCAGTGGTCACAGGGAAGGATTTGCAAAGACACTGACAAGTGATTTTCCTCTCTTACTGTCTTCCCCTTGCAAGTGACCCCTCCCTGATGCCCCAGGTATCCCCGTTAGAACTGACACCATGGAGCACAGGCTGTGGGGATGCAGCTCTGTCTCCCCTGACAGATGGACTGAGGATGATAAAATGGCTCTGCTCCAGACAGCTCTGTCACTGCTGCTTGTGGGCCAAGCAATTTAGGGGGTGGGGGAGAATGTTAAAAAGCATCTGCTTTCCGTGGAAGACTTCAGCTTTTCATTGAGTGAAGCCAAACCCAAACGTTTTGGCTTGGAAGTGTTTGCTGTTGTGCTTCTTGCGAGCTGGAACCTTCCTTGCTTGCTGCTCTGCTCCTTCCCTGAGGGCCTCCTTCCCGCAGGACTGTGTTTCCCATGAAGCATCCCTGGGACTCGGAGAGCAAAAGCTGTAACACATCAGGGAACTTGGATCTACCCGGGTTGTTTGTCATTTTCATGTTGAAATTTTTGTGCGTGGAAAAGAAGTCCCAGTGTTTTCTGAGAAGTCTCAGATGAGAGCTGTGATCCTGGTGACAGCGAGCAGAGACTCTGTCTGCTAGGGAAGAGGTCTGTGTTCTGTTGCATCCCAGCTGTGGGCAGGGATGTTGGTATGTTTGCGTGACACGGAGCTTTCTCGCTCCCACCGGCTGTTCAGCAATCCTTTCCCTCTGCTATGACACTCAAAAGCTGAGCACATCTGAAATGCCCCCAGCCTTGTTTTGCACAGGACTTCAAGCTCCTTTAAATAACCATCCGCATAAAACAGGGGAGGTTTCAAGTTGAACTTTTCCTACGTGTTCATTCTCAGCTCATATATTTGCATGAAATCATGACTTGTCACTGAGAAGGTAACACGATCTAGGCACGTTTTTACCAGCCAGAGTTTCTATAAAAAGGCTAAAATGAGAAGGCTTGTTTGCTTTGATAAGGATTTAGCTGTAATGGGAATGCCTTTTATTGGAAGATGTTTTTATTAGTTTTCATTCTTGTGTTTGCAGTGAACTGACAAAGGGATTTGTCCCTGGTTAAATTAGTGTTAGACTGACACTCCCTGCTCTTTGCCTTCGTTACTCTGTTGCAAAAACCAAGAGAACATTTCCTTCCATCAGCCACTCACTAAACTCCCTCAAGTAAAGAAATCAGTATCATTTATTACACCAAAAAATGCTGCTTAAAAAAGCAGCAAAGCTTTCAGGCACTCAAGATTTGTTCAGGTCTGTGATGAAAACAGACCTACAGTTAATTGCCGCTGCCCAACCTTAGAGCCTAAGCCCCAAGAGGGATTTGGTTTTTGCCTTTTTTTTCCCCTCTCAAACATAATGTGCTCGAACAACATGTGGGACACAGGCCATGTTGTGTGGCTGATGGTTTTTTCTGTTTGTTGAAAGTTGCAAACTGGTACAAAACAAGTTTGTTCTTCGTTGCAGCCAATTTCAGCCAGAGCTGAACAGGCTGTTCCCAGAGTCATCAAAACCTATGTAAACATGGCAGATTGACATTTCCGCTAACAGATGGTCCATGGGGGATTGCAGTAGAGCTGCCTGTTTCTTTCCACGTTTTTTGGTATTCACAAGATGCCTGCAAGAAGGTTTTCGAGTTTGCTCTGTGTGTGTGTGTCTGCACACGATGCTCAGATCTCTCTGATGGCAAATATGCATGCAGGCATCTCTAACAGGACACACATTTGGTGCATGTGTGCAGATTTGTGTAGGTTCGGTGCTGAAATCTCCAGGCAGTATTTGCTCAGTAACGTATGTTCCTTGGAAGAGGCACAGAAGCCATCAGTCAGGGATGGAGCTGCAGAAAGCCTCTCAGATGGCAGCAGAAGCAAATTGAACACGCTCCTTGAGCACTCGCACGTGGAGATATTCCTTATTGTGAGCTCTCTGTGATCGCTTGGTTGATTTCTCGCTATTAAAGCGTAGTTTAATGATTGTCCACTTAGAAAGGGAGCAATTAGGGAATGCTTTTGGCTCAGAATATATTGTTGAGGATTGCAGAGAGAGAAATGGCAAAGACACTGCCTCAGGCACCCACGTCTAAATTAGCAAACGCTTGATAGCCACTGCGCTGGGCTTGGACGTCACTGTTCTGCAGGGTGCTGGCATATCAATGAGGCCTTTCACTACTTGTCTGCTAAAAATTACATCCAGAGGCAGCAGCAAAGCTGCTGTGACTTGAGAGTGGTGCTGGGATGTAACACAGCCCTGCCTTCCCCAAGGTGTTGAGCCCCTTGGGTGCCTGGGTGAGGGTGGACAGAGGGCTCATGCGGGAGCACTTCAGTGTCCTCTGGCCAGCCCCGACAGCACAAAGTAGCATTTGCTTCTTGCTAAATAGCTGACTTAGGAATGCCTGGCTCGCACACAACATCTGGTCGTGTATTTCTACCTAATTTCCAGCCAGATGGACCGAGGCACAAGGAGGTCAAATGACTCACCCAAGGTCAGGCTGATGTCAGAAATCTCCTCGCTGTCTCGGCTGGACTCACGCTACGTTGGCGGTTGCTGGGACAGATTTGGCCTAAGGAGCAGCCACATGTGCAGAGCAGGAACCTGGGCTTCTCCTGCTGACAGTGAGCGATAGGTGGTCAGTGGGTTTCAAGAGATGTGCTGTACATCTTCCCCCTGCACAGCCATCGTGCTCACACCACCAGTATTCCATGTGTCTGTGCACACTCGCTGTTGTCAGGGCAGGATTTTCTCCTCTTCATCCCTGCATCAACCTCTCTTCTACCCAGGCAATGTGTAACATCTGTGGAACAAGGCCAGAGATAATAGGCCTGTGTGGTCCCTAAATCTGAGTGTGTGTGTGTGTGTATGTATGTGTAGTAGCAAGGCTGAACTCAGGTACATGCAGGACAGCCCAATAAAATCAAAAGCTGGAAAGAAAATACTGTTCTGCCTGTCAACTAATAGTCTGAGCTGTTAAATAACTTCAGCTCTTAAAGACACACATTTCCCATACACAGAGGTGTGCATTCAACAGTTTATTGCAAGGGGAAGCTGAGAGAACCCAGAACAAATTGTGTTCAGCCCATATAATTTAATTAGATCTACAAACAAGGTAACACTGGTTGCCCAGGGGACTTAAAGCTGAGCTAAGAATTGCTTGGTGGTCTGTTGCAAAAAAAAAAAAAAATTAAACGAAATAAGGCCCCCAGTTTTGTGCCTCTGTGTTGATGGGTAATGTCAGAGTGTTCACCCAAGCCCTGGCTTGGAGAAGGAATTCTGTGCAGAGTACCATTGTCTCCAGCTCTTACTGGAGCACACAGGCCAGTGCCCACAGGTGAGGGTCCTTCTTGCTGGTGCCAAAGCAAATGCTGTGATCGTTCAGCTCCACATTTCCCCATCCCTGTCCCTTCCCAGCTCTGCTCTTATTTCTCAGTGGGCTCGTTCTGCTCTGGGCTGTTTGTAGTTCTGCAGGGAGCTGATTTCAGGGGACCTCTAAATGATGTCTGTGCCATGATATACCTGTTGGTCTTGCAATTTAAGAGTAGGTGGAAAGACCCTTTCACAGCCATCTGGCATCTTTTATCCCCGTGCTCTGCATCAGCCCACGTACCAGCAATAAAGCCACTTCTAAGGCAGGGACTGTGTGAGTCCACTGCAGAGCATTTTCATTTTGATGCCATCACAAGTGTCCTCCACATTTATCGTATTTTCCCAACCTGCACTTTCCTTTTTCAAGCTGCTTCTCACGTCTCTTGTATGAGGCTAAGAATCTGTGTCTGTGATAATTGGATCTTTTCTCCTCCCACTTTTCTCCTGCAGTCTTCATGGAACAAATCGGCCACCCAGCCCTGGACAAACAGCATTGCCAGATATGGGGACACCATCACCAAGGAGCCCCTCTCTGCTGTGAACGGGTCACTCAAGCTCCCCTCCAGCACAGGGCAGAAGCTTCTGTTACAAGCTCTGGTTTATGATGCTGTGATGGTGGGTGTTTGAATTATTGACTTATGCATTCTGATGTGGGTTTTCCATTTATGTTCCCCATCTCTGTTTCTCCTTTTTGCAGCCCCTTTTCGTGGGCTTCTTGTTCTGGTGACAGTCAGGTGGGCTCAGAAGCTCGGTTGTCAGTGGGGCTGTGGCATTCCTGGTCACTCAGGACCTGAATCCTGGCACCAGCAGCCTGCTTGGAGTCTTGCTGTGGCCATGCAGCACTCAGCCCCTTGAATGAGTTAGGAGCTGCAGAGCTCAGCACAGTCATTAAGATCTACAGCCTGATGGAGGGATTGCATTTTTGGCTGTAAAAGGAGTCAAAGATCAAGGGTTGATTTAAACTCCCTTCTCCAGATAGGGCAGAGCAATTTCCACTGCACTTGTGTTCTTTATGTGGGTGCACAGACTGGGGGAAATCCTATTTCTGATATTGCTTCATTGGAATAAACATGCATTCCTGTGTTTGGGAGAATTTGTGTGAGGATTGGGATGTCTGTGCCACAGTCTCAGCAAAGCAAGCTGGCACCTGCTCAGGCTGACTCTGTACCAGAAGATTTCTTTGGTTATTGTTTTAAAAAGTTCGTCCTCCACCCCCTGCAACTACTTCTAAGTAACCCACCTATGTTTCCTTCCTAGACAGTGGTGTGAAAATCAATTATACACAGGATGTAATTAACATTGTGGATAGAGTTAAGACAATGTTTTACAGCCCAATTACAGGGCACCGTTTACAGCACAGCTTACCCAGCAGAGTTTGTCAACAAAAGGAGAAAAGTGTTAAAATATGTAAATGATGCTCAAAGTTGGCTTCAACAGAAAGAGCAAATTACACGTGGGATATCACTTCCATACCCTGAATTGTCTTCTTGCTGCTACATCACACTCAGCCCAGAATTCGAGCGTTGATTGCCTAGAGAGCTCTTTGTGAGCTTCCACAATAATTTGTCTGTTAAATTATTGAGTGATAATCTCATGGAATGACCTGCTTGTCAGCCAGATTTGTGGAGAACTGTAGCCTGAGCTCTGCTTAAAACACTGCAGAGCAGAACTTACTGTTTTCTTTCTGAATTCAAGAGCTTGAATTTACACGGACTTTTGCAGGCTGTGACCAGGGCTCTAAGGAACACACACTTTGTGATATGTAGCCAAAATTAAAGCAGGAAATTGAAGGGAGCCTTGGTATCTCTCTCTGAAGCTGGTTTCCTAGAGTGCTGCCCACTCAGCCTTTTGAAATCTGGCCCTTAATATGGAAACAGACTGGTGAGTTTTGAAAACTGTGGGACAGAGACTTGGAGGAATGGTTGCTCCAGCCTGCCAAGAAACTGTGGGCAAATCACTTTGCTCCCTTGGGACTTGCTTTTTCAAATGTAAAATAGGAAAAATGATCCTGAGATGATTTGAGATGTTTCTTAAGACTTCAGCTCTGAGATGCACATCAAGATAATGTTTAATAGAGGCATGTGTACATCCCATTGCACTCTGTGGGATTAAAAAGAAATACATTTCAGTGCTTAGTTGGGTTACAGCCTCAATTATCAGACCCTCACTTACTTTACTTTCTTTTTTTTTATTTCCCCCCTGCTTAATAACAGAATGAAACAAAGAAAAGCCACCCACCAGCCAACCTTCACCAAGTGGAAGCAGAGGTCATTGTCCATTCTGATTTTTCAGCCTCTGACAGAGACTATGACTCCCAGCTGCACACCCTGGAGAGTGAAGAGACAGAAATGGAGGACCAGGAGCCTGCAGAGCTCCCCTCAGGAGAGCTGGCTCTTCCTGGCTCTCCCAGCTCCCAGCAGGACACAGGCCAAGTGTTGGTGGACTGCACAGGGAATTTGGAGGCTCAGGCCCAGGCTGACACAAAGACTAACAAACCAGAGGCTGTTTGCATCCCTGGGCTCACCAATGGCTTCCACAGCCATGGAGAAAGTCTGGATTCAGTGGAGAGTGGAGACTCGGACTCCATCCAGGAGGGTGGGCGGGATGTGCAGCCAGTCAAGGGCCAGTTGCTTTCCACGGCCCCGGAGGAGGCCCCGCTCTGCAGTAACTCTGGTTTAACCAGTCCATCCTCAGCATCTGAGAACATGGCACGTGTCCACAGCCACAGAGAGTGACCTGACCCGCTGCTGATCACGGCAGAGCTGTGAGGTGCTGCCTGCCCTCGGCTCATGGAGCCCAGCAGGAGCTGAGCGGGCACAGCATCTCCCAGAGTGGGGCTCGGACCCCTCAGCTGGGCACACACCTGCAGGAAACCAGGAGGTACCTTGGGCAGGGCCGTTCTCCTTCCTGCTGAAGCTGGTGAGTAGCTGGGTGTTGGTGGGAGCAGGATCGAGCTGTCTGCCAAAGCCTGACGCAGAGAACCACGATGGAACGGAGCCTTTCTGCGCTAGACTGGGGCTGTCACTTCTCTGGAGTCCTCCAGGCGACTGGCAAGGCGTCGTGTAATGCTGGGAAGTGGCAGAGCACACTGAGTGATCCTCCTCAACTGCCTCTGCACCGGGAGTGCCTTGGCACTGCCGACTGTGCCGGGATGGATCCTGTCACGGGAGTCCCGGGAGGGGGTGGAAGCCGACGGAAACAAACGCAGTGAGCTGCAACCACCAGCCTTTTCTGCCCTCCCGTGGTTAGAAGGATTCCCAGGCTCTCTGTAACTTCTACTAGCAGGCTGATGTAGTGGCCTTTTATTACACACTCTACGAGTGCCTCTAACAACTTGTACTATATAGAACCTTCTGCAGCGTCTGGGTCATTTCACCAGCCTGGACTTTGTTTTATGTAGGTTCTTGTACCTAATATTTTAGGTACACATCTGTCCTTTTAATGTACAACATGTATTTTTATTTCCTTGGAACATCTTTATATTATTTAATTTTATAAAGTGGAATAGTGTGTGGTATAGAGTAGCATTTTTACAACTTCTCTCTTTCTTTATTTTTTCCTCCCTAACAACACAACTACCTCATGTCTGTTGGAGAAAAAAAAAGAAAGCAGTAGATCTACTCTTTTGTTATAGTCCATTATAGGTTTTAACTTATTCTTATACTGCCTTTTTCTAAAGAATATGTTTGCACTGGTTGTTGACTCTTTTTTAACACATAGTGCTGCAGATCTGATGTCTCTCTTGCTTTGTTTCTCTGACACCTTCCCTACAGCCTGAGAGTTGGGTTGTGTCTCTCTGTAGGACTGTGTTTTGCAGAAACTACCAAAGGAGACTGCTCCAGCTGGTGGGATGTTGATCCATCTCTCATTAAAAAGCTTATACTAATGAAGAGAAAAAAGAACCAACAATTGCAAAAGTAACTTGCGATCTTGGGGACATCTATTTCATTTTTTGTGTGTGCCCAAGAGGAGACATCTCAGATGGTTTTGATTTCCAGAAAGCAGCACTCAGCCTTCTGTAAGCAGTGGACTTGCTGAAGGCTTTGGATGAACAATTGAAATTTTCCAGTCACTTCTGAGAGTCCTGGCCAAAGTGCTTTTGGGTGGATTTTTTTTTTTTTTTTGAAGAGCAGAGCACTACCAGAGCTTTAAAATGAAAATCAAATCCTTGGTCTCATACCAGTCAGTCTGGTTTGAAAATCATCCGGTGACTCTTCCTGATGATGCTGTTTGCTTACTGCTGACACGTCTCTCAGCCTGGCCCTGCTTGGAGTGGACTTTTCTCCACCTTTTCTTTAGCCCTGCTCCAGGCCTGCAGAGTTCAACTGCAAATGGTACCAATTGGACCAGCTCTGCAGGGGTAACAAGCATTGGTAACTCTGGTCATGAGTGGTAAATATTTTGCCTTCCTGGAGGATTCTGAGATCTGGCCATTTGTTTATTTAAAAAATGAAGGTAAATATGCCCATCTCCCTCATTTCTTTTTGGAGTTCCCCCAAAGCTCTATGGGGGAGCCATGTGCTGACCTGAGATCCTGTAGAAGACTTCAGATTTTGCTTTTTGTGGTGAAATCTGGATGGAGGCACTACTGCTTGCAGCAAGGAGAACCTCACTCTGCCAGCACCCTGTCCCTGTTGTGAGGAGCCATGTCACAGTGTGCCCTGTGTGGAGCTGAGCTGCACCAGCCCGTGTCCCTGCAATCCATCACACCCTGAGCTCCAGCTCTTCAGCAGAGGAGAACCTCCAAGCCTCCATGCACCCTGTTGGGAAGGATATTGGAGCTTCCACCTCTCTCCAGCCTGCAGCCTGTCCTCCCAGCACCACACACTGTTCTGGTAACTGCCTGGATTTCCAGTTGTTGCGCTCACTCTGTTTGGTCCAGCTGCTGCTTGGTGTCTTGAGGAGTCTCAGAAATGCTGTTCCATGCTCTGAAGAGCCATAACTCTGGAATGCTGTGGGACAGAGACTGGAAATCGGTGCCGGCGAGCAGGTGAGGCAGGAGTTAGTGTGTGTGTGCTACTGGAGCGAGGAGCTAGAAAGGCAGAGGATAATAACCCCCAGACCCCACTGCCACAAGACTTTGAAACTCATGACTTAGCAGGGTACAGCTAAGGCAGTGCAGTGTTATTGCAGGCAATAAGGGCAATTCACATTCTATGGGAGTGGAGGCAGAGGCACAAACCCTCCAGCTGGGCAGTGTCAGGCACTCGCTGCAGAGGGTGGGGGGATGTTCTGCAGGTGGGCCTCAGTTCCCAGTTATTTCCATGGAACAGTCCTTGCCCTTCCCCAGTGACAGAACAGGCCCTGCACAAGCCATGTTGCCACTGCTGGGGTGCAGAAAGGGAGGAGGACACTTCTCAAAAATGCTCACTCTAGGGGAACCACTCCAGGGGAGCCCTTGGTCACTTCCTTTCACCTCCCAAACCAGTTCCTCTGCCCTCACACACGTCAGGGTGCCGAAGGACTGCTCCTGCTGAGCATCCTGGCTATCAGAGGGCAGTGCCAGGAGCAGTTTGGCCAGCAGCAGGTATGACCAGGGCACCAGAGTTCTCCTCCCAGCTCCCTGTCAGGACACAGTACCTGGGGCAGGTCATGGACCAGCCCTGAGCTTTCCATCCATGGGATGGAAGGGGATGGAGGCTTAGTCCAGTGGCTGATACAGAAATGTGCCACAGTTTTCGGGAAGCTCCCTTATACATGCACCCTCTGCTTTGTCTGTACTGACTTTAGCAATCCCACAGCCATGAGCTGAGCTGCCTGAAAGCTGTCCCTGCCTGTCACTGAAGGCAGGCACCGTGCCTCTGGATCAACTTGGGCCAACCACAAAACACCACAGTACTTATGTGCCCCGAGAGCTTTGGGGGAGATGCAGGAGAGCACAAACAGTTTTGCTTACACATCCCAGAAATACTTTGTCTCCTCATGCTGAGGCTTGTTCTGGTCTCATTACACCTCACCAAATTGTACCAGGATGTGAGACTGGCAGCGTTTGGATGTCCAAGAACTGTGGTGGCCTTGGGCTCATACACCAAACCTCAGCTACAGCAATCCAGGCCGTTCCCCTGGAGCCAGGAGGTCACCCCTGGCCAGCAGCAGCGGAGCTGTCCCTGGACCAACGCTTGTCCACAGGGAGTGCTGGGTGTCCGTGTCCAACTCGGCTGTGCTCCAGGTCTCTCCTGCCTGGAACACATGGGGACCTTTCAGCCCCAGCTAGAAATGAATTGAAGAAGACACATAATACACACTTGATGTGTAAAGCTGAAACAACCAGTGCATATATTTTTTTATCATGGAATAAGTAGCTTTCTTGCAGATTTCTCACAGGCACACAAGCTGTTGATACCTTTAATTACCCATCATGCTTAATATCTGTTCCTGCACACCAGGCTCCTTTCTCCCTTTTCTTCCTTTCAGTAACACTAAAGATTATTGCTGTTCAACTTTTTTGCTGGTGTATATTGTTTTACATTGTTAAAATGTCAGGTTTGTCTCACTGGCATAATTTTGTAGTATTAATGTTACTGTTTGGCTACACAACTGTATATTCCCCATGCTGCTGTGAGAGTCACAATTCTCAACCTTTCATTTATTTTCATTCCTTGTTACATGAAAAACATGACTCAGAAAACCCTCTATCAGCTTTTTGTTGATTTGATTTCTTACTGAACAGACAGCAAAGTTCTGGTTTAAATAGTTCAAATGAGATAACTTATAATTTAGGGTTTGAGAATCTTTTTACATTACTAGCTAACAGTCGTGAGATCAGCCCATGAAATATGCTGTGTAAGAAAACAACCATTTTACTAAAGCACTGTATATGTTTTTGGTCTCATTAGTAATAGATGTTTTGAAGGGATCATTGTGTCTTTTCTAATCAATACTTTTGTTAGAAAAGCGGTGTTTAGTCCAGCAGAAATCTACCATCTATTTCTGTTATTCTATTCCCTTGCTTGTATTTTCAAGTTAAATTTCATTTAATTTTCTGCACAGTGCATAAGGATGTGTAACCAGAACTTGATCTTGTTTGAAGGTTGTGTCTGTGTTTGGTTCCATGCTGTACTTTATTATAACTTTCTTTCTTCAGAGACTGTTCTTACTCCACAAATACTCTTTAGTGTTAAAAGTGTAAGAAGACATTGTCCTTATATTCCTTAACTAATGGGTTATTAATAAAATGTTTTAAAAAAAAGAGTGGAATTCGTCTCACAGTTCAGAGTGTTACAGCTGTGCAAGGCTGTACCTTGCTGGGGGAAGCAGTGGTGGCAGCAGGATCCAGGATTCACACTCAGTTCAGTGCCTGAGCTCATCACCATGAAGGCTGGGAATGTGGGGTGATAGTGGATGCCTGGTTTCTTAGGGATTCTTCTGGAATTTCAGACAGGGGCAGAGTTTGAGTGCATTAGGCATTTCTGGATGCTTGGTCATTTCTCAGTTTTGAACCAATTCCTACAAGGAAAAAGAAACATTATTTGTCCAGTGTCATGCTTCATCTTGCTGGGGAATTTCTTAATGTGAAAAATAAGCAGAGGCATCTAGGAAATGAGTGGTGAGACTTCTCTTGGATGGCACACTGGGCTGAATGCTCAGTGGCTTCTGTCCATGGAGATTGGTGAGAGGATATCTGGCAGTGCCCGAGGACGTGCTGTTAACCTCCTGTGCATCTCCCTTCCTTCCTGGGATGCATTCCCTACGTCGGTAGATAGTTTCCATTATTACTTTACGCTGCCAGGACTACAGAGCCATAAAATCTCATTTTATCTGCATTACAGAGGTAATAAATCTGCACTTAGCATAGTGTTCTCTGATAGTGGTTAAAGGGAACTCTGTCAGATGGTGTAACTCTGATGAGTCTTTCTCCTAATGACAGGTAACCCCACAAACGAGCAAGGAAGCACCTTGGGGGAGGGGGTGATGGGCAACTCAACAGGATCCTCAACAGACACGCAGAAAACAGTTTCTGCTGAGGAATACAGCTTCCAGAAGCAGGTCCTGGGGTTGTCCCACCACTGCTGGCACAGCTCTCGGCTCTGTGCCTTGAGGTGGGTGCCACGATTTTGGCTCCCGCTCCCTATTGCTCACTGACCACAAAACAGATTCTAAAACCCCGTGTGTACGTAAGTGAAAAGCTCCCAGGCTGTTTGCAGGCAGGGAAACCACAATTACACATAGAATAATAAATGGAGTGAATTCAGACAAGTTAATCTCCCACTTCATCCGCTGAAACTACTAATGGTGTCTTGGGGACCTCAGTTTGCAGTTAATTGGCGTAAATCAGGAGCACAACTTGAGCTGATGGAAATTTGCTGTGCAGGGAGTGAGGGGTGAGTGATGCCCTCTGAGGGGAGCTCTCTTGGAGGATAACCTCGTGGAGAAGGAGGACAGATGGGTGGGCAGACCCTGTGCCACTCTGCAGCAGGGAGGACAGAGGAACAGACCCTAGGACTGCTCTGCAGGGTAGGGTTTGGAGCCTCAGTTCAGGCTGGACACTGTCACTTCTATAACCGTGCTGCTTTTCCAAAGGCTCCAATTTCTGCTTGCAGTGTGATAAGCAAATTCCTGCCTCCAATACAAAGCAACTTTTCTAAGCCCTCATGGTTACAGAGCATAGAAAAACAAGTGCTCTGAATTCCCGCTCTCAGTTGGCTGCAAAAGCCCCAAACCTGCCTTTATCCTAAAAAATCTTGTTTTTTCACACAAGTCCTGTTGTTTGGGGGGACTGCCCACTCTTCCAATTTTTGAATGTGCCACCAGCACTGTCACCAGTGTCATTTGCAGATGCAGGGCTGAACTTGGTGATGCCCTAAACAGGTACCTACCTCCCCCAGCTCCTGGGTCCTGCCAGTGCGCACGGCAGCAAAAGCACCCAAAATCTGTGGTTTCTGGGGAAAACAGCTCTGTGAAGCACATGGTGCTTTATTTCTCTTGGAATTATTAATTCCCACAAGCTGTCCTCAGTGACAGTGGCGTCCTGGAAGCTGCCACAAGCCCACGATGGCTGCAGGCATTATAAAAATGCTGGTGGGGCCCCATGGCAGGAGCCAGGGAGTCGGAGCAAGAGCACGGCTAGTGCCAAAAGGTCAGGGACAGCGCAGAAATTCAGATGTTACCGAGAGGCTGGCGGAGCCAGAGCAAATTCTTCCCCAGCTGAAAGCAACCTCGTACAGCTCAGCCCTCCACTAAACGAGGGAAGCTTTAATGTGGAGCAGATGTAGTGACGTCTTCCTTCCTCGTTAGCTGATTCCGACACGCTCAGGGTGCACCATCGAGGGGAGTCTAACATTGCTCCTCTTCACAAAGGGGTTTTCACCAGATTTCTGGGAATGGTTACATGGTTTAGAACAGTCCATTAAGATCTGATTTTAGTCTGAAAAAAGAAATTAATTAGGATCCACTTTTATTTTCTTCTTAGTTGTTTTCTCACTAAGCAAACACCACAAGAGACACTGAGCTGTTCTTGCAGAGATGGCTTTTGCTGCTGACAGTGGTGATGGGAGTTATGTTTGTGGAGAATGTGGGCCAAGGGACAGGGTAGGATCAGTTGGAAGGCACAAAATATTGTGTAGGCGCTGGGGCTGAGAGCTATATAGGGACACATTATCCTCATTTCATGCCAGGAGAGCAGACAAATTATCCTGCTGTGGCAGGATTTAGGAGCAACTCATCCCTTACTGGGTCCTTCCTCACTGGGGCCTCTTCCAGAGTGAGCAGGCTGGTCCAACATCTGCTCGAGCGACCCAGGTAAGTCACCTTAGGATAGCGTTAAAATCAGGAGCAGTGAGGTGGGACAAGCCAAGCACTTCGTTCCTGCGAGCGTGCCCCAGTGAGGGGAGCCCTGTGAAGGGAGCCCCGGAGAGCGGAACTGGTGAGGGGAGGCCCTCGAGGGGGCTCTGATGAGAGGTGTCCTGTGAGGGGAGAAGCGTGAGGGGTCCCTGGTGAGGGAAACCTGTGAGGGGAGACTCATGAGGGGGCTCCGGTGAGGGCAGACCTGTGGGGCTGCCCCAGGGACGGGAGATCCGTGAGGGGGAGACCCGTCAGTTAGCACTGGTGAGAAGAGCTCTGTGAAGGGAGCCCCGTGAGGCGGAACCACTGAGGGGAGCCCCGTGAAAGGGGTCTGAGAGCTCTGTGATGGGAGCCCCTGAGGTGGAACCACTGAGGGGAGAGCCGTGAGGAGGCTCCGGTGACGGGAGACCCCTGAGGGTCCCTGCACGCTCCCCGCAGGTCCTGGGCGCGGATCGGCCCCTCACGGGGCTGCCCCCTGGCCCCGCAGCCCCTCGTCCCCTCAGCCCGGCCGGCGCTGGCGGCGCCCCGGCGAATGCGCAAGATGGCGCAAGGCGCTGCCCGCCCGCCCCCCGCCCGCCGGCGGCCCCGCTCCCTCAGCGCCGCCCCCCGCCCGCCCGGCGCGGCGGCGTGTTCGCGCCGAGGGCAGCACCGCTGAGAGCCGCTTTTCCCCTTTTTTTCCCCTTTCCTTTCCCCCCCCACCACCCCTCCCGCCCCGCAGCTGGGGGTGGCTCTCGCCTGCCCGCCCTCCCTCCTCCCCTCCCTCCCTGCCGGCGGGCTGCTCCCTCCCCGTGGGGCGCAGGGAGGCGAGCCCGCCCGCCCGGGATGCCATGGCTCCGCCGGGCTCCGCGCTGCCCGCCTGCCTGCTGGGGCTGCTGCTGCTCGTGTGCCGCGGAGGTAAGAGCCGGGCTGGGCTGGGGGAGCGGGCGGGGGCGCGGACACGGACCGCGGACCTGCCGCCGCGCCCGGCTCCGCTCCCGCCCCGCGGCCGCTCCGTCCGTCGGTCGCTCCCGCACTTCGCGTCCCCTCGTCACCCCCGAGGTGGCCGGGGCAGTGCTTGTCCGCACTCCCCTTGTCCCTCCCCATCCCCGCTGCCGCTCCCGGTCCCCCTCGCTCGCCCGCGGTCACCGGCAGCCCCGCGGCACCGGGACCGAGCAGCTGCGCGGTGTCCGCCCGTGGGGCGCGGGGGTCCCCGCGGGGCAGTGGGGGTCGTGTCTTGGGGCTGCAGAGTCCCACACCAGCCCCTCCAGCGCCTTCATCGGCGGAGGTCCCGAGGTGCTCCCCCCCGGAGCGGTGCTTCCAGTTGGAAACCCCGTGTGCGGGGTGCTCTGGGGAGGGACGGTGGAGTTTGTGGAGCCCGAGCCCCCACCGCTGGCGCTGGGGAGGGATGGGGCGGCTGCCGGGGCAGTGGCGTGGCGGGGCATCCACCCGTGCCGGGAGGGCAGAGCCGGGACCGTCACGGCGATGGGAGCGGGAGGCAGCGCCCGGCGGGCGCGTCGCGTTCGTCAGGAAAGGAGATAGAGATGTTGGGTGACAAGTTGCAGGGATGAGGGCGAGCAACTTCAAACCTACGAGTATATTGTGCTCTGCTGTAACGCTCAGCTCTGTCCACTCCGGTAACACAGTCCATCGGACCAGGGCCAGACGACAAAACATCAAAGGGATCTTTCCCGGCACCTCCTGTGCACGTGCCCTGCTGATAAATGGCAATATATTCCTTGTACTGGTGATACTGCTTAAGCGTGGGGCTAATCTGAGAAAGATGCTGTTTTGCAGCAAAATACCCGCGTGCATCCTGCTCTTGTCTCACTTAGCAGCCTTAAAGATAAGGAAAAGTAGGAATTGAGCAACGTACTCTAGTGGAAGGTTTCCCTGCCCATGGCAGGGCGGTTGGAGCAAGATGGTCCTTAAAACCATTCTATGATTATTCTATGAATTGTTTAAAAAGAAAACCCTGCAAGCATGGTCTGACCCAGCATGATCAGAGAGAAAAAAGTGTGTGTTAGATTTATCAGAGATAGCTGCTGGGGTGTTTAGGAAACAAGGCTGTGGGCTAGTCCCATCATAAATCTCGCCACGTGGTCCGTAGCAGCCACGGCGAGGAGGAGAAGCCCGTGTAACTCGCAGAAAATAGAAGTGATCCGTGAAGTGGATGTAATGAAGCCGGTCTCGTTATTCTGTTGAGATTCCTGGATAGCGCAATGAGGATGGTTGAAAAAAGTACTTTTTTTTTTTTGTTTGGAGGGAGGGAGGAAAGTAAAAGAAGTGAATGCTTGAAAGCAAAACTTTAGCAAGTTGAGTTCGTGTCTGGGTTATCGCCTGCTGCTGTCCAAATTGCTCTGTGTGTTTGTTTATGCTGCGCCTTGGCGGGTCAGTGGCTCCTGACTTTGGGCTGTGTTTTGCTGGCCCCGCTGAGGAGCGTTTGGCAGCACTTTCAAAGTTTCTCTGTTCTGAGGGTTTTTTTCCCCCTTCGGAGGGTTTAGTCGCTCTCTGTGGTCAACAGCGAGGTAACGCGTTTCTGCGCTCCGCTGAATTTAAGAAACCCTCCCGTGCCGGTGTCAGCGAGCGCGGAGCAGCCTCGCCGCGGGGACGGACCCTGTGTCGGAGCTGTGCGGGACACGATGCTCCGCTCCCAGCCCCGAGGTTTTCAAACTCCCCAAAATGCTGGTCTGGCAGCTATGAACGAGGCGCTGGGAGCTGCTGGTCAGCGTGCTGGAGTGGGCTCAGCAGCGAGACAGTATTTTCTTTCTTTTTTTCTTTTTTTTTTTTTTTTTTTAATTTCCTGGAGCTCTTTGTTCTGGGTAGTGGACAGCTTTTGTCTGTTATTGCTGAGCCCGGCATTCAAAGGCAGGCATAGGATACCAGAGGCTCCCCGGCTCTGCTCAGTAACAGCCTTGGAATTAAACATCGTCATTTATATTTAAGTAGGCTTAACTTCTAAATTATTGAAGCTATAAGCTTTTACTAATTTCTGCTCTGTGTGGCTTTGTTAGTGTTTTTTTTTTCTTTTTTTCCAGATGTAAAAAAAGGATTGCTTTCTCCTAAATTGGTGTAATACCCTGTCTTTTTTCTTAATATACATAGAGAGTATCAGGTATCATTTCCCCAATAACACTCAGAGACTGTATGAAATTCAAGCCCACATTTGGGCTTCATCTCTCTTGGGGGGCTCAACAGGAGAATCTTGGGACGTGGTTTTCCCACGTGGTGGAGGCAGCAGCAGGCCGTGAAATGGGGTGGGTGTCTCACAGCCGTATCCTCGTGTGCCATGTTTGGGACTTGTGCTGGGGACAAAGCTGATGGGTGTGAGTATGCAGCCAGCTGTGCCCGTGGCACTGAGATGCCTGCTGGGACCATCAGGGTGCCATAATTAAACTTTGAAAGTTTATAAAGCAAAGTGAGAGAGAGGGCAACAGGGCAGGTCGATCCCCTCCTCATCTGCCCTGCCATTCCTCCCACAGGGCGTAGAAGTCCTAAACTAGTCTCATTGCACCTTTTCTTATTACCTATCAGGCTCTGGACCTTGCACGGATCAAACTCCTATGCTTGCTTAGAAGCTGGCAGAGGGTCCCAGATCCAGGATTACAACCCAATTCCCTGTTCCTCTCCATCTTCTGAGTTTTGGCCCACGTGCTGTCTGCCTGGCCCGGGCCAGTAAGGAGCAGCTCAGCAGCAGCACTGCCCGGCAGAGAGCTGCAAAACTGCTCCCATTTATGTCTGCAAATGAAAAGGTTTTTCTCCCTCTTTTCTGTCTGCCTGAACTTTTCTTTCTCCGATTCCCTTGTTTCTGGAGGGTCCTGTGTCACAGTGTGTGAAGTGCTAAGCAGTGATCCCATGCAATGCCAGCCCCTTGCTTCACAAACCCTTGGACACTGCTCCAAACCCATGGGATGAGCAGACCATGTGCTTCATTTTGCAGCCTGCACCAGATCTGGGACAGAAGATATTTTTTCCCTACTATATTTCATGCTTTGCACTCCTGGGCTTCTGACCCTGGATATTGTCCTTTTATTTGTCTGACAAAACAATGCAGGAATCCCCTTCTGCAGTTTAAGGATTCCTATTTAAATCAACCGAATAACATGAGGCAGGAAGAGGAATAGTCCATTCAAAATTACTTTGAAATCACAAACTTATTTGAACTTTACTGGAGCTTTTAGTTTTACAGAGTTTAGAAACTAATAAATTATGTAGCAGGGCTCATGAAAATCTACCCGAGTCCGCTTATCCAAAAGAATATCCAACATTTTGGTTTTGCAAGAAAATAAAAATAATTGTTTACACATGTTCAGGAGTCATTGGCAAGCATATAAAACTGATGGTTAAGGAGGTGACCATGTCAATAATTGCAGTTTAAGAGAAGAGAGAGGGAAATAGGTGAGAGATGAGGAAAGCACAGAGCACACTGATCTGGCCTTGCTGTTATATCGGGTGTCACTGTTGTATCGCACCCTCCACTTGAGAGCAGCCCAGTCACTTAACAACCCAGACCTGCTCCACGCTGGTAATTTAAAACCAGAGTTTCAGAGCAGAGTCAAGGATTTGCTGCCTGGCTTTTTTTGTTGTTCTTGCACATGTGATTGTGTTGATGAAGCTGATGGCAAGTCAGGGGATGCGGGTTGTGGCGGGTGGTTCTGCTGCGTTGGGGAGATGCTTTTGCAAAAGGATCGTTGCTGCTGAAACCTGAGAGCACCTGAAAAGGGAGAGAAGAGCTCGTGTTTCAAGGCGCTGGATTTGGAGTGGGCAGGGATCGGTGCAGTGCTCTGCTCATCGGGAGGAGCGAGGCGATGCTTTCCTGCATCCTGAATTTCAGTGTGGGAGGTGATAAGGCAGAGGGGACGGCAGGGAGGAGGGAGCACTGGGTTTGCTTTGATATAATTTTGTTTGCTGGACTCATTTAAGAGTTTCAAATGTTTTGATGTGCACAGAAACTTCTCCTCCTCCAGAAACATCTTTCCTTCCCTTTCTTTGCATGCCACCCAGTCCTGCCTGAATGGAAGGACTCAAGCTGAAGTTCAGGGGCTGTGGTTTGGCACTGTGATGCCAAGTTGCCCGTGGCTCTTTTGGCAGCCTTGTGCCATCCTCCCAGCCATGTCTCTGATCCATGGGCACCATCACCCACTGTGTGGCCAGTCCATCCCCTGCTGGGTCTGTGCAAGGGGCTGGCTGTGGGGACAGCCACCTCCCTGATGCTCTCCTGCGGGGTCAGGGAATGAAACTGGCTGTTGTCCCGTTCTGCATTAGAGCAGCCTCGGGAGCTGAAGCCTATGGGGACCCCGGCTCTGGCACAACGTTTCCCATCTTGGCCACTGCCTTTGCTGTGCTCTCCTTTGCTGCACAGTTGTTTCTGCTCCGTGTTTGTGTTGCTGATGCCCTCTGTGGTGAAGCTGTGATCTGGTCAGGGCTGTGAAACACGTGGGGAATGCAAATAACAGTGCATCCTAGCTCGGCTTGCTGCCATGCTCTCGGGATCCTCGCTGTGGATGGAGCTACCGTGGGTAATTAGCTCAGGAAAGGTCTTTGCCCTTTCCAGCTATACCAACAGGTTTTATCCTGCCTTTGTCAGGATGGGGGAGCCAGCAAGGGCTCAGAGCTCGTCCTGGAAAGGCTCTTTGTGCTGTGAACACTTCCAGCTTCCACAGCATTCAACAAGTGACCTCCTGGGATTTGCCCAGTCCGGTCTCAAACATATGAAAATTATTTGGGGCAACTTCTCCAGCTCTTTGGGCTGTGCTTGCCTTCCTCAGCTAAAATGTTTGTCCCCGCTGAGGGCAGTGATCCTGGATGTTTCTGAGTTCTGCATGAGGTGGCTGAGAGGTCCCCAACAGAGACCTCCTGCAATTGCCTAACGAGTGGATGTGGTTTATGCTCCCTGATGGAAAAATCACTTTATATAACCTCCCGTCCTAAAGGAAAGGGAATAAAAAATTCTGAGCTAGTAAACTTTACTGCCAGCAAGATGTGGGGCCTGTTACAGCCTATTCTCCTCTTCTTTAAATGTAAATTTTTCTGGATGCCCTAAAGAGCCAATTTGCACTTTACTACAGTGCAGTGCTTTTCTCCTTAGGGTCTGGGTCAACCTCAAGGAGATTTAAGAGCGCACCAGCTGGATTTTTAGGCTGCCAATTTCATCAGCCTGAATCTTGTTATAATCTGTTGGAGAACATCTTTCAGGTCCATATATCTCTTGCTTCCATATCCTCCCATTTGCAGAAGGATTTGAATAAAAAACAACCCACCACTGAAAAAAACAGGAGCCATTTTTCATAGGGCTGGCCCAAACTGCACCCAGCTTTTTGGCCCTAATACTAACCTGCATCCCACTATAAAATCCTCTTGTCCTGGTCATCTTCTTTTGACTTTATTGAAGCAGGACTGGAGTGGTTATCCATGGGGGTGGTTATGCTGCTGGTTTTTATGCTGTGTTGTGCTGGGAACAAACAGAGTAAATCAGGAGGGGGCAAATTTCTGCTCATGAGGGGTGGTTTGCAGGTGGATGTCGTGCTGTTGGTGTGATGAGAGAGGAGCTGGGGCTGCCTCGGTCTCCCCACCAGTGCTCCTGATGATGCAGTGCCAGGAAGAGCAGGGTGGACTCAACTACTCCCGCAATATCTTGCCTTGCCACGAGCTCAGCCCCGGCTCTTGGCAGCTCATTTCATCTCTCTGTGATTAATGTTCCCTGTCTAGAACAGGAGTAATAATATGGGCTTCATCTGTCGGGACTGTGTGCTCCTGGGGCAGGGATGGCCCTGCTGGCTGCAGGTCTGGATGGGGTCCAGGAAGATGAGCCAGGATGTGACTGAGGTCCTTGGCAGTGGATGTCACCGCTAATTAGAGCGCTGAGATTAGCTGCTGAGGCACAGGAGGGAAAGCCAAAATCGTGTTTCCCAAATCGAAAAGGACAATGCTAGGGTATGAGCAAGTTCTTTTGAAGCTTTGAATGTGAATCACAGTGTCAAGTAAAAAATAATTAAACTTATTTTTTTTAAAATGTACTTCAAAGTGTCTTTTAAGCTTCCCATTAATTCGAAGTTCTTTCTCTCAGCACTAAATAAATCTCTCAGTTCAAAAGCACAAGTGCTAATTGGTTTCTCTGAGTATGCCTGTCTGCTTGATCAATTGGGGAAGTAGTTTTTGTTAAATATTTGCACTTATAGTCACATATTGTATTGCTCAGGGAGATGGTAAATGTTTCTCAAAAGGAGACTTGTAGAATGAGGATTCCAGTAATTTTCTTGTGGCCTTTATGACAGAGCTAATCACGCTTCCTTCCTCCACCCCTTTGCAGAAAGCAAAGTGTTTTTCCCTCGCATGCTGCCGGCGTGGAGTTGTTCAGCTGCCTGCCTGACACCCCTGCTCTGACTGCAAACCTGAGCTGCCACTGTACTGCAGAGCTCACAGTTTGTGCCTCCAGCAGGGAGTGGCTGGGAGCCACGCTGCCTCACAGTCCCTTTTGGGAGTTACCTGGGACGGTGTGTGGGATGAGCTGGGTTTGGATACGCAGCCAGCTGTTGGAGATGGATGGGGCTTTCAGACTCCTTGAGTGAGTGTGCACGGCCTTGGCAATTTCCTCACTGTCTCTCAATTAATTGCACTTTTACTGTTTCCATGTGCTTGCAGACTGCCGTTTACTTCCAACTGTGCAGCACTGTTGCTGTGCCCTGTTGCTGACTGCAATCAGTTATTTATGCTGACTGAATTGGGTCCCTCTCTCCCCTTGCTCCACTGCCTCCTTGCTCTGTCTGTGCTCTCCCTCTGGCCCATCTGAGCTGATCTCTAGAGCAAACACCAGGAGCCTTCTTGTCTCACCATGGAGATTCCTCTGTGAGTGTCTCTGTCCCTTTGTCTCTCATCCTGAGCATCCCAGGAAGGCAGTGCTCTGTGTTCTGAGTCCACCTTTGTGACAGGTGAAAGACAAAGGTTGGCTTCTCCCAAATCCCCAGATGGGATGGGCTTGCTTTTCCACGTGTCTGGTTAGTTGGTCATCTGACCCTGAAGCCCCAGGAAAGAGTCAGTGGGATTTCTTCAAGGTCTAATAAGCATCCCATGACAAAAGCATAAATTGAGGTGGAATTTGGGTGCTCCTGGACACTGCACAGTGTCTACAGATTACAAACCAGTTGCACATTGTCCCACCTCAAGGCACAGTTTGGTCCCAAATACAGCCTGAGGAGATCCCAGGACCAACCCGTGTCCGTCCCCACTCCAGCATGTGCCTGAGGACACCAGTCCTAATTATGAGTGCCATCACTCCTGCAGCTCCAGCAGCCTGGAGTGAGGATGCAGACCGAATGTTTATGGAGGTAAACATGATTATCTCCAATCACAGACCTTAATGATGGTTGTTATAATGACAGCAGTTGTGGGAAGGGCATGTAATTATGTTGATTCTTCCTTTTATTGTACATATAATAATAAGCTGTTTTATCTTAAGAGTACAGGGGGAAGATGGGGCATTTATTTCATTAGGGTTTTTTTCTGATTACCTGTTAGGCTAAATCCTGAAATTTTCAATCTTTCTGGAGTCAGAAGTCCCCTTCGGTTCAGTGTCAGAATGTGAGGGTCCTTATCCTGCCTAACTGCCAGGAGCACCCACACAGGGAATGGGGCCCCAGCATGGTGTTGAGACTCTGGCCACTTTGCAGAAAAATGCAGAGCATTCAACTAATTTCTTAATTTTCACCAAAAAAAAGAGTAATTGATGGGTTTGTGCTGGCTGCAGTCTGACTTGCTGAGAGGACCCCAGGGCTATCTCATAAAAAAGAAGTCACAGTGAGCGATAGATCACCGAGATGGCTGGAGCTAGCCTGACATTTTAAGACTTAATGGGTTAATAAAGTGTGTGTTTTAGGTGTCTGTCACTAAGTAGGGTTTGTCCATTCCCTGCACACACTCATACCTTGTTGGCAGTACCTTTGGCCTGCCCTGCACTACCACTGCTGCCTTTGTCTGCTCCGTCCATCTGCCTCAGCTCAGGTTGCACTCAATGTTTATCCCCCGTAATCCAATTTAAGTTGCTGTAGAAAGCAGGGGGGATTTACAGAAAGAAAGGAAAAAAATCTCCCTGGTTTTGCAGAGCAGAAAAGACAGACTTTTTTCCCCCTTCTCTTTCTTTAGTGTAACTGCCTCTTCTCGTCTCTGTTATTCTTACCATGCATTAACAGTCTGCCCTCCACCCTGGTTTTGAGCCTAGTGTGGGGGATCCTGTCCTTGGTGGGGTCTGTATGAGGGACAGGCATTACAAAGACTGTGCTGTGGCTGGTGTTTGCCAAGAGATATTGCCTTGTGAGTCCCAATTCTGTGAGCAGCTGTGGAGTTGGTCCCCTGGAGCCCATGAAAGAGGGGAGAAGCTGTATCCCAGGTTGGGAAACCACCCATGGAGGGGTTGATGCACAAGTGAACTGTTAGAAAGGCCTTCTCCACACTCAGATGAAATTGTAGTTTTTACTCTGCTCTCCTTTAAAAAGAATTGCCTCCATCCTGTGTTTACACCCTTCAGATATCCTTGTGACTGCTGTTTCTTGGTTGGTTTTTATCTCTCATTTAAACCGATATTTTGGGCCAATCTTTAAGCAATAGCTCTATTTCTGTCATCTTCTGTAGCGTCCGATCATGACTATAGGGCAAATTATACCCTCAAAAGGTGTACTGGACCAAGTGAAGCATAACATGCCAAAGACACAGCGTTTAAACGTTCTGTTGGCAAAAGAAGTAAATTAGGACGTATTCGTGTGATGGGAAGCGAGGGTTTGCCTATTGTTGTTACAAATTCTGCAGTAACTTATCTCTCGCGGACATCGGACATCGTTTAGCGTAATTGCTTTGCAAGAAACCTTTTGTGTGGCTGAGCCAGAACATTGTGCATTTGTATTTCGGTGCTTAACTTGCTCTTCATTAAGGGCTGAATAGCACCATCCTTTGGCTGTTACAGCGTGAGAGAGACCAAAGCGACAGAAGGGCATGGTGGTGTGTGCGAGAGGCAAACAGCCTCCTGCTCTGCCAAGCGGGAGAAGTGTCGGGAAGATGCCGGTGGCAATATGGTCTGAATCGGGAGCTGCCGGTCCCGCCTTCACCCCCGCCGGCTGTGCTGCAAACGGGTCTGGGGCACGGCGCAGCCCCACTCCGCCTGGTCGCGTGGGGAGAGGGATGGATTTCCAGAACTGGTGTGAACTTCTGCTCCTGGGCTGGGAATGGCTGACACTCTGTGCTTGTGGAATTCTTTTTGTGCAAGAGACAATTTCCGGGGAGGCTATCAAGTGGGACTGGGGTTTGGCAAGCCACTGGAGGGGTGTGCCTGGCCATCCCCTTCAATGGAGCCTCCAAAGGCAGCCTTGAAGGACCGTGCCTGTGGTTATGCCTTTGGAAATTGCACCCCAAGATTTCGAGAGCAAAGCCTTGGGAGGCACAGCATGCCCAAGGGTTTCATGTTTCTCCTAAACACTTGTGCCCTATAGCCCATCCAAAATGTTTCCATCATCCCCCATTTGCTGCTGTAGCAGTTGACTCTTGCTGCTCCTCATGGATGCGCTGCTGACCCTGTCCTTCTCTCTTCACTCCAGATTTTGGCCGTTCCTCCGAGCTGGCATTCGTTGTGGAGCCCAGCGATGACATAGCCGTGCAGGAGCAACCCTTGATCCTCTACTGCCAGGTAGAGGGCATCCAGCCCATCACCATCACATGGAGGAAGAACGGCGTGATGATCGTGGACAGTGAGAATGCCTTCATGTTGGCCAACGGGTCGCTCTACGTCTCCCGCTTCCAGAGGGTCCGGGGAGACGGCTCTTCGGACGAGGGCGAGTACGATTGCATGGCACAGAACCACTACGGGCTGGTCGTGAGCCGGAAGGCCAAGATCCAGGCAGCGAGTAAGTGCAGGCAATCCCACAAGGGGCACCGGCTTTGTTGGGAAGCAGGAGGGCAACATGGTGGGTGCTGGGTGTTCAGGGAGGGAGGGAGCATTAAAGAGAGGGAAGAGAAAATGAACATGGAGCTGGTATGGATGTCTGGCTGGCATCTAATCTGTGTAGCTGTCCAAGTGTGAAAGAAGAGCTAATCAGCTTTCTTGGGTAGAAAGCTAAAAACCACCTTCCAGCAGTAAATTCCCTGTGTTAGAGGGATAAGGTGCTCTAAACTCACACAGTGAAGTTGTCTGTGGTTTGTGTATCTCCTGTGGTGAGTTTGGAAGCCCCTTTGCTGTGCAGCACAGCTGGGCTCTGCTTGGCAGGCAGTGCTTCCCAAATCATAGGCAAAGACCTTCTGAAGGTCATGGTGTCTTTCATTTTGTTATTTAATGCTGGCAGTGTGGAGGCAGCAAGGTCTTATTTACTACCCGGCGTGGCAGCGCCTTTGGGGGCAAGGCTAACAACACCAGACAGATTGTCTGGTGGGGGAGCCCGGAGGAGGAGACAGATGAAAATGTCAGTGAGGGAATGAAATTTAAAGGTGGGGGAGGAAGAATTCCAGGGCAGGCTGTGACTCCAGCCCCGCACACTACCCAGCTTAGCCCCTTACATTGCCCTGGCCGGAGCGGTTGGGTCCCGTTGGGTTTCCTGGTTCTGCCCTGCCAGCTCTGGTTGCTGGTTTGTGTTTATCCCAGGACTGATGGCGGAGCTGGAGGGTCGCAGTGGTTTCTCTCCCTGTTGTGTTGGTGGCCAGCTTTGCCCACAGACTGTAGGCCCCAGGGGTGCAGCCACTGATCTTTTTGCATTCAACCAGGAGTTGCTGCTGGGTGTAATTTCTATGTGAATGTGAGGACAGGTGTCTGATACAGCCCTAAGCCCTGTCCAAACACTGGTTTGTTAAGTAAGTTCTACTGCAGGTTCTCCAACTTGCGTGGGAGATGGCTACTGCTCTTCTGTCAGTGCAAGCCACTTACCACTGCTTCTATTGTGTTCACAAAGCACACCATGACTTTTTTGTGCAAAGCAGGAAAGGTCTACAGCAAAGTCTGGGGCCGAGGTCCCCCATCTGCACTCCCAAAACCGGGGGGCCTTTCGGAGTGCGGCTGCCCGCTCCCCACAGCGCCGGGGCCGGCTGGCAGCCCACCAAGGGAACACTTCAGCCCTTGTGTATAACAATCCCCGAGTGCATGAAGTGGCCATCTGCAAACCTAGCTTTTCAGGAGTGTAAGAAGTGACATTGTCCAGGAGCCAAGGGCTTTGGGCCTGTGCCAGATTAGCAGCTGGATCTCAGACTTGTCAGTCTTGTGGTGCTAAACCTTGGAGCACTTTTGGTGAACGGCTCTGGCATTTATAAGCTGGAGGCCAGCTGACACACAAGCACAATGTAAAACTTCTTGGACCTGTAAACAGGAGATGTGAGAGCCAGAGGAATTACCTTTGGGATTGTGGATTGTCAATAAACACTGTTATCTCAGCTCCTGCATCAATATGTATGTGATGTGCTGTGTGTCCCTGAATAGTGTTTCCTTTTGTAGCCATAGTTTCACGTGAATCAAAATGAAAAAGGGATCGTGTTGAAAATGCTCTGGACTCTCTTCTTGCTTTGGGCTTGGTTGCTTGCCAGCCTTCAGAAGAGGTCTGGGTGAAGCTAGCACAAAACAGGGGGCCCCTGGCCTTGATGCCACAGGTGCCTGCAGATAATGGGAATAAAACAGGATGTTGTGGGCAAATGTAACCTGCTGCTCAGGGCGAGTTCCCCTGCTGTGCCTGAGCCGCAGGAACATGCACTTACACTCAGGACTCGGCTTAATCGTAGATGAAATCTCCTAAGAATGAATCACAGTTGTACTCCGAGCCCCCGTGTCTCAGGGTGGTTACACACAAGCGACAGTGATTTTCCTTGCCCCAAGTCCCAATAAGCCAGTCAGAGGAGAAGGGTAATTATCTCCATTTAAGAGATGATGGGACCGCTGCGTCGAAGGAATGGGTGCTGGCTGCCTGGGAGGGGAAAAATCCCTAGCGCTGAGCAGAGTAAATACTGCCGGTGGGTAAAACCTCATCCCAGTGCTGATCTCCCCTTCCCTCTGAGCCTGACATCTGAACACAAAAGCAAAGGAGAAATAAAAACCTTTCACAAACAAAAATCTTGAAAGTTGATCAAGGCCGTGCTACTGAGGAATAAAAGAGATCTGACAGAGCAGAGCCCCTCGAGAGCTCTGTTGCACTTTTCGCTGTCTTCAAAGGCAGGCTGTTAGTCTCATATCACCGTTACAGACCCTGGCTTTGTATTATTGCTTGGAATATAATCTTCTTGGCTCGGAGGAATGTACATATTTGCATTCAGGAAATGTGGGCTGGATATCATATTTTTATGTTTCAAATTTACTTCAGCGCTTGGCATTGAGTAAAATTTAACTGGAAGAGTATGCTGCTCTCGGCCGCCGCGCGTGCGGCCCTGGTGGGCTCAAGGTGCCGGCAGTTTCCCCACGGGGTGGGCGCTTCTTAAAACCTTCCTCCTTAAAAATTGGCTCATTAAATTAATTTAATTAAAATTCAGGGGTATTTCTGTATGTCGTCATTCTTAATGGACGATGCTCAGAGGAGGGAAATGGACCTTGGCTGGTTTGTGGATTGGCAGGTCAGGTGCTAAACACACTGATAATATTTTTGTAGTGTAACCTTCTTTTGAACAAGCAGGAGTGTGCAAGAAGCCTACGCGTGACTGAGCTGAGGGAGGCCCTCGGCATTTCCACCCTCTGCCTGACACCCCGGTTGGAATTCTTTCACTTGCTGTTTCTGTGTCTGTTCAAACCCTGGTGTGTTAGTTTAAAAGGTTGTGGAATGCAACATGTTTTTATAATCTGATCAGGTTATTGAATACAGATCTTTTCTGTCTCCTAATGACAGTTTCATAATTTCGCATGACTCCGAGCTGTCTTAATTAAAATCAGTTTCATAGGCAGAGTGTTCTCTGGAGGCACTGCTTGGCTGTGTCTTCGTGGGTCTCTCTGAGAAGCTGGATTTCCCTTGTGCATGTCAGAAGCTGAGTGTGCCCTTGCTCCCTGTGGATGGAGATACCCTCTGGGCAGTAGTACCATCCAGAGTCCACTCCTCTGGAAGGTGGGCTCCCCAAAACACCCCCACCTTTCTTCTCATCACCACCCTTTGCTTAACTTGGCCTGACTTGACTCTGATCGTGTTGTCTCATGGCATTTCCAGCCCTTTTTGCCGATGCTGTAATTTGATGGACCTGGCTCCACATCATCATAAATCACAGCCCAGCCGGTGGAGTAAGACCCATTGATTATATCACTCAATAACAAGCAGTTACCACTAATTGGAAATCACCATCAAACTGGGTATCAGATCAGGCTCTGCACGTACCCAGCCTGAGAGTAGCAATTTTCCCTGTTTGATCTGATGCTTAAAAAAAAAAAATCAACAAAAAGAGAGGGAGAGTAAGTCGATGGTGCAATTTAGAGCCAAAGAGGTTTCTTGAAGTTTGGTGAAATGGACCTGCCCAGTATTTGAAGTACTGTGGTACCTGATAATAACTCAGGAAGCTTTTCCTGCCAAGCTGCCTGGCTAAGAGAGGAGGTTGGGAATCACAGCGTTGTTAAAGCAGCAAAGATCTTCCCATCGTTTCAGCTCCTCTGCACAGAATATATTCAGGGTTTAACCTGCAGCCCCCTTTCCAGGCTCTGGGGTGGTGGGAAGAGCTGCTGAGCCCAAATAATGGCAGCATTTATAAGAGTGTAGAGACAAGAAGGAAGTCTAAAAGGATTAGGGAGAGACAAAGGGGGCTGATTATTTTATGGGTCACAATACAAGGCATTAGAGTGAGATCACAAAGGGATGTAATTACAAAAGAAGGCCATACTGGGGGGGATCAAACCAGGATTAGAGTGGGAAATGTTTTTACACAGTTTTGTTCCACTCATTATGAAGTTAGCATTTTAAATTAAGGTTTAAATAAGGTGGCACCAAAGTTGTCACCAAGGTATTTCCTGGGCAATGCCACTGTTTGGATGCAGATTGTGAGTCTCAGTTCAAAACACCAAGGCAGACCTTAAACATGTGGATTTGCTGCTGGTTTTTCTTGTGCCTGTACAATATCTGTGTTGTCAGCAGAGCCCTACCTATGGCTTATGCTTGGGACAAGTGAACCTGTTTCTGCAGTTGGAAGGAAGATACTTTTGTGATGACTTGTTTTGGTGGTGCAAAACGTGCTGGAGGTAAAGGTGTGCCCTGGTGTCGGTTTATGGTTCTGGAGACATAGTCCTGTTACTTCCAGGAACTTTTAGCTAATGCTTTCTATTTTTATTTTTAAACTGCATTTTATTGCAGTTTAACCCCTAGTGTTACATGCCAAGTTTCCTCCATCCATAAATGAGATTTTTTTTCCATGTTGTGGCTCTGCTCCCATTTAATGCCCTTTCTTCTCCAATGCTGAGCAGAAGGGCTCAGTCCTGATGCCAATGATGTTTCTTTATTGTCTGTGCTTTGAATGCTTATGGTAAGCCCAGAGCAAGTTCTGGGCTTGTAGCAGTGGGTCTGAGGGGAAAAATACCCATGAGGAATTACTAAAGGAAAAAAAAAGGAAAGAAAAAGAAATTAAGCAAAGCAGAAAGACTGTGAGAGGTTTCCAGAGGATGGATGTGATGGGTGAGTGGGTTATTTCCCTCCATCAGCTCTTTTGGCTGCCCCTAGGACATGCTGGCTCACGTGATGCTGCCTCTCACATCTGTACTGTAGCAGTGCTTGGCCCCGTGTGTGCTGCAAAACAAATGTACAAATATCGGAGTCACCGGGGGAAGATTGGAGAGATTTGACTGGGAATTTTAGTAGATTTGCAGGATTAAAAGAGTTTGTCACTTACCACCCACAGCATTTCAGCGTCTGCATGTAGCAGCCAGGATTCATCCTGAGACTTGAGCATATTATAAGACCATATTTCTTTTGGC